ATGAGTTCATTCCATTCACATTCACACTTATAATCACTGTTTGTTTACCTCCATCTTATTTTTCCCCATTTCTTTCTCTCTCTCTCTCTCTCTCTCTCTCTCTCTCTCTCTCTCTCTCTCTCTCCTCCCTCCCTCCCTCCCTCCCTCCCCCTCTCCCCCTCTCTCCCTCTCTCCTTTCATCCTGTTCCTCCAGTGTTTTGCTTCTGACCACCACCTTCCCTTCTATCAGTTCCATCCCCCTTTTTTCATCCCCCTTTCTTCCTACTTCCCTTTAGAGCTTGCCATTTCCTTCTCTAGCTCATTTTACAGATGAGGAAGCTGAGGCCAACATGGTTAAGTGACTTGTCCAGGGTCACACAGCTAGTAAGTATCTGAGGCTGAATTTGAACTCATGAAGATGAGTCTTACTGACTCCAAGCCCAGTGTTCTAACCATTGTGCCACCTAGCAGCCGCCCTAGTTTAGGAGTGGTGGCCTGAGAAAGAACTAAGCAGGGGTCAAGAGATTGAAGGTCATAGCATTGAAGAACAGGGTTTGGGGTTGCAAGGTGGAGGGAGGGGTGGAATGACAGCAGATTGTGATCCAGCAGAGAAAAACACTTCAGCGTTTGTGGCCATGGAAGTGGTGCGTTTGTTTGTGATGGCAGAATCAAGGCTTATGACCGTCTTTTATGGGGCTGAGGTAAAATGGAGGAGTAGGTGCTGTGAAATGAGCAGGTTGAGGAACTGTGATATTGGAATGTTTTAGGAGGGCATATCAATATGTGTGTTGAACTCCTCTAATATGGAAACAGGAGTTGAATAGGAGAGGACTGTGAGCCAGGCACTGAATTCATTGAGGAAAAGAAGGAAGGTGCCCTGGAGGGCTGTAGATAGCAGCTACCAAACCTTTAACTGGATGGTAGAGATGAATTTAGTGAATCTCAGTGGGGGAGGGAGGCTAAAGACATGGCAGAATGGAATGGCCTTTCCTATTTAAATTCTCAGTTTGGTGTTCTGTGTATCTGGGTATTTTGTATTTTTGTAAATACCTTCTATTTATCAATTTTGTTGGCAGCAAAGAGGTGCCCTGAACCTCTGGACCTGGAATCAGCAAGACCTGAGTTCAAATTCTGCCTCAGGGTACTTACTAGCTGTGTGATCCTCACTTTGCCTCAGTTTCCTTTTCTGTAAAATGAGTATCAGTATAGGTCCAACTTCCCAGGATTGTTGTGAAGATCAAATGAGGTAAGATTTGTAAAATGCTATAGAAATGATAGTTATTATTGTCACTTGGTTGAGCAAAATAGTTTCTGATTTTCTTCTTCATTTGTTGTGAATTTTCTTTTTTCATTTTTTTTGTTGACAGTTTAGTTTTCCTCTCTTTTGGGGGGAAATAAGTTAGCTAATAGTTGGTCTTTTCAATGTTTCAAAAGAACCACCAAGTTTACTTACTTGTGTTATAAGTTATATCCCCCAGGCATCCCTGCTCATCCCCATCTTTAAAGATAACATTCAAAGCCAAGTTTGCATTAAGGACAAAAGTATAAAATTAACAACCAAAAGTCAAGGAAGAGAAAACAACTCCTGGCTCCAGCCTAGGCCTTGCTCTTTTGCTATACCCCTCCACCCGTGCCACCCTTAGTGGCACCAGTTACATTACGACTTCTCACTGCTGAGATTGGAAGGAGGGCTCCTAGAGCCAAAGCAGGAGTTCTTAGAAAGAGGAGACTCAGTCAGTTTCTTCAGCCCTTTAAAATGACTTCATTTGCCATCACGTGGTTCTCCAAATGAGTATGTGGAGCCTTGTGTCGGTTCTCAGAAGGAAGAAGAGAATACCTATGCAAGACGTATACTTTATCAAAGGGTACTCGACAGCTGGCTATAGACCTGTACTCCTACAGATCTCCATATATGGGTCTAGAATGAGATGACGAAATGACAGGTACCCACGTGGGGCTGATGTGGCAGCTGCAAAAATGGTTTCTCAGCTTTCCAGTTTTTTATAGATAAGAAAAGTTCTGTCTTTTGTGTATGCTAAGTATGCTCCTTCCTTTGGGAGGCGTTTTAAAGTAGTGATTGGGGAGATTGGAGCGCCTGCTTCTAGGTCTGGCTTTTGGACGTTTAAGCACAGTATCTGCTTGGGGGTTAGAGTGTGGCAGGAGAATGTTTCCTGATTTACTCAAGGTGAACTAATGATGAAATGAACCATCTGGGCCCTGATGGATGGACACTTTATCTGTAAAGTTTGTGGGCTGAGTGGTGCCCATTGGAGCTGGACTTAGGGTTAGAAGTAAAAAGCAAGGGACACTTAATACTTATAGGATAGCTGCCAATTATCTGAAAAGTACCAGGAGAATGGCATTGGACATTCTCTCATACAAGGAATCAGAGGCCTCATAGAGGTATTAATGGGTAGTCTTCATGCCTTTCTCTCCTGTCCCACCCTCCCCTCACTAATTGTAAAATCTTAACTTAGGTTCCTTATGGCAGGGAGAATAAACTTCCAATACACAATGAACCTAACAAGGTCCTATTTATTAATGTAATGCAAATGTGTGTGCAGATATGTATCATAGCAAACCATTGATTCATTTACGCTCCTTTTAGGACAAAATTTGCTACAGAATCCTAAAAAAGCAAAATGATAGCCTTCTATCCATACTAAGGTTGTAGAAACTTCAGAGACCAGATGTTATGGAAAGTATTGCAGCAGTTAAAGGCTTGTTGGCTCTGTCACACAGCTCAGATTCAAAAACATTGGGGCTGAAGAAGATGAAACCCAGTAGGGAAAAAAACCTTCCCCCAGAAAACTGTTCCTCAGTACGGTGAAATGTAGTATGGTACATCTTACACCAGTGCAATGGAGGAGTCATGATTAGATAGCAGTTTTTAAAAAGATCTGAGGATTTTAGTGTATTGCAAGCTCAAAATGAATCAGCAGTGTGATGTGGCAAGCCCCCAAAATCCTAATTTAATCAGAAAAGCAGCCTGTATAGTGGATAGGGCACCGGATGTGGAGTCAGGAAGACCTGGATTAAAATTTCGCATTAGTCATTCACTAGCTCTCTGTGCTTCAGTTTCCTCATCTGCAAAATGGGGGCTGAGTGGAGTGGATTCAGTGACCTTGAAGGCCTCTAAAGTTATGGTCTTGGGTTTCCATTAAGTGAGACATAGTTTCCAGGAATCGGGATTGGTGTGATACTTGTCTGTACTTTGCCTTCATCAGAACTCATCTGGCATCCTGTGTTCAGTTGTGAACCTCACAGTTTAAGAAGGCTGATAAACTGACCCTTGAGGAGGGTCGCCAGGACAATGGGGGTGACCTAAATCTGTGTTCCATGAAGGTCTTTTGTAGAAAGAAGCTGAGAGAGACAGACAGACAGACAGACAGGATAACCAGGGACAAGTGTTTTCAGAGCTGTCATGATGAGGAGAAATCCCCTTTTGTTTGGCCCTGGAGATCGGATCCAAGAGTAGTGTTTGGACATTGCAAAGAGCCCAGTTTAGACTGGATGTCAGGAAAAACCTCACACTTAGAGCTCTCGTGAAGTTCAATGGGCCACCTGGAGAGGTGCTGTTAGGGTGTCCCATCTCCTTCAAGCAGTCTTGAAACAGAAGCTAGATGCCCATTTGTTGGGAATGTTGTAGTGGTGCCAGGGTCCCTTCCCAGAACGCAGATCCTTTGATGTGATACACAAACACCATTTACAAGTGTGTACGTATGTTTAGGACCAGGCCTGGACCTATAATTTCATTACAAGCTCATCCTAAATTCCTTACTCGAATTCACCTCCCCATAGATATACTGTACAATCTGTTAGCACATCTTGTTTCTACCTTCACAGCATCTTTCACATACGTAGCCACTGCTCTAGTTAAAGCCCTCGTTACCTTTTGTCTGGACCATTGCAGTAGCCTTCTAATTCCTCTTTGCCTCATGTCTCTCCACCCTCCCCTTAGATGCCAAAGTGATTTTGCTAAGGTGTAGGTAGGTCTCTTCCCCCTAACCCCTAACACATATTCCATAAACTGTATTGGATACCTTTTACCTCCAGAATCAAATATAAAGACTTCAAACATTTAAAACCCTTCAATCTGCCTCTTTCCTACCTTTCCAGTCTTTTTCCTGCCCTCCACATATGAGACACATGACACTCCCATCTTCTGTCTCCCATACCTGAAATGCCTTTTCCCTTCATCTCAGTGCCCTGTCTTCCATGGGTCAGAGCTCAAATCCCTCCTCTGCTTGGAGGCCACTTCTCTTCCCTCTGAAATTATCTTCATTGTATAAATCTTGCATGCACATTTTTTTTTTGCATATTGTCTCCCCTATTAACATGTGAGCTTCTTGTGGGCAGGAGGGACTGTCTTTTTGTCTTTCTTTGTATATTCAGCTCAAATTATAATGCCTGGAACATAAAGTGCTTAATAAATGGTTATTGACTGATTGCATCAGTGCAGAAAGTCTAGGTAGGATCTTAGACCCCTATGGCAAGTGTCTGGTGAAGCCTATGGACCCCTTCTCAGAATGTCTTTTAAATGTAGAAAGTAAAATATATAGGATTGCAAAGGAAGCCAATTATATTGAAATGCAATTAAAAAAAAAAGTTCACCTATCCCAGGTTAAGAATCCCAAGGCCTGACAGTCCACGCTGACGCTAAGGGGTTAAACGGCTGGCCCAGGCCTGGGGTAGGTTCAGGGAGTTTGGTGGAGATTGGGGCAGGAGGGGAGGCCTGGGGCAGCCAGGGCAGAGGTGCTGATGCCGAGCCAGAGCTGTGCTGATGCAGATCCTTCTCCCGCCCGGCGGGTGCCATGGCAACCGCCCTGGCGGCGGCGGCGCGGCGGCAGACAGGCATGCGCAGAGGCGTTGGCAGGGGTAGGCTTGGGCAAGCTGGGGAAGCTTTGACGCAGTGCGGAGGTGGGCGGTTTGGCGCCAGGCTGCTCTCGCTTCTGCTCCGCCGTACTGAGCTCTACTCTACGCGGGAGTAGGGAAGTTACTATTATTTGGTTTTGCCATAGGAAGATTTGGAGAACGGGGAAGAGGTGGCCACCTGTCCCAGCTGCTCCCTCGTAATCAAGGTGATCTATGACCGAGTAAGTGCTTCTCCCTCCTGGGGCTGGGTTGGGGGCTGGGGGGCGGCAGGGGGGGAGGGAAGAAGCCTCTTTCCAGGGAGGTCCCGGCGTCTGCAAACTTGGGCTCTGTCCTGGTACTCGTAGTAAAATCTTGTGCGCTCAGATGGCTGTCGCACTTAGCCGTGGGTGGGGGGGGTGGGGAAGCAGCGCAGCGGAGCGGAGAACTTGATCCCATCCTTTGGGTACCCTGGTCAGCGCTCCCTGGCAGAGCCGAGTGAAAGGGTGGCTCTTTGCTCCCTTGTCTCTTAGCCTAGAATCGGGACTGTTCAGAATTCGTCCATTCTGCTAGGAGAAAAACAGAATTCTGTGCAATTCCCTGCCCGGTTTGGTAGGGAAAGCCCAGCTCTAGATTAACCACTTTTTCATTGGTGATGGTTACATACGCATGATTAATGGAAACGCATAGGTGATAAAGGTCATTTGTTTAGCTGTCAGAATAAGAAATGAACCTGCCAGAGCTGTTAACAGTTAATAAAAAATTGATTATTTTAATTTTCTTTTCCTGCCTTTTAAAAATTTGTTCAATTTCTGACAGAAAAAAATTTTAGTGTGTAATTATCTTTTTTATCATTAAAAATATTATCAGAAAGAGGGAGGGGGGAAAAAAAGCTAAGGGCTAGGGTTTGAAGCAAAATGGATAGCTACAAACTGCAGAATCAGAATGTGACGTTTAGACTCCGCCATAGCTAGCCCAACGACAGGCTAGATTGACGTACTGGAATATTGAACTAATGGGGCTTTACTATAAATAAAATTAAATTTAAGCCATTTTTAACCAAACTTCAAGAAATTGGGGGAGTAGTTGCACATATATTCTAATTCTGTAGGTATTTTAAATGACTATCCATAATTTACAGCTTTTATTATAAAAATCTGCTTGCATTGGTGGTACAAAGATAAAAACATAAGTCTCTGGGCCCAGGGAGCTTACATTCTATTGCATGACGTATGTATATACCTAAGGAGTGGTGGTGTGGAAATAAAAGATGCAGATGTTTAGTTTTTCCTTGTTTTTTTGTTTTTTTAATAAATTAAAGAGCTTTTAAAGTCAAATATGCATTGAAGTCCAGGAACTGGTGACTTCTCAAACATGGATTTAAATTTTAATGGGTGCTACATTGTGATTAATGAGTAGGAAAAAAAATTTAAAACGTAAGTTGATAGTATTGAAAAATATAACTTTAATATTATTGAACAAAAACTGGTTTGAATACTTATTGGTTAATGTTTATTGTCTCTCTTTCTTAGGATCAATTTATGTGTGGGGAAACAGTCTCTGTACCTTCGACCAGCAAAGAGTTAGTTAAATGCTGAAGAAAGCTTTGAAAACCTAATTTGTACCGCATAACCAAAGGATGTGCCCAGATGGATATTAAATGTGAAACTGAAAACTTCTGAATAACAAGAGAGGCCTTTGGGGTTTTTGTTCTTGCTTGCTTGCAGTGTATTGTAAAGCATAGCTTCTTTACATCAATTGCCACATTTATCTTGAAAATAAGAACTGAATTGACAGAGGGGACAAACCTAGATTTTTATAATTGAACTTGAGTTTCAATTTCAGTCAAATTTTTCATTTTCCAGAATTCAAAAGAAGAATAATTTCAAATCAGAATCATTTATATCATAAAACCTATTAACTTTGACATTTGTTCTTTGCAGAGTATCATCTACCTCCATAATTAGTGGAGCATCACTGATGCTCATGTAATTGGCTTCAACAGCAGAAACCTTGTCAGTAGCTGAATTGTAATAGTTCTAGGTGTGTGCATTGTCATCTTGTTTTCTGTCATATCCTGACTTCATTAAGTAAAAACAATGGATATGAAGAGGAAAATAAGTGACCTCTATCCTCAGAGGATAAAGGTCTTCTGTGTCTTAGATACTAGAAACAAGACTCAATGTGAAATTGCAAGAGACCTTGGAATTCTCATGTCATGCTTTCTCAAAACCAAGAGGAGCATAAAAAGGCAAGCATTAGGGCTTGATGAGAAGAATAAAGTAGTGGCCAAAGGGAAAAAAATGAAAGGCGCAAATCCTGTTGAGTCAGGAAGTGAACCAGTTGATTATTCTAAACCAGAGCCAATGGTGTCTCTGTGTCTGATCATTTTCTAGAGTAAAAGCCATTGTAATGGCACCAAGGAAGGTGGCTTTGTGTATTTTAGTGTCATTACAGCATTGTGTCCACTGCATGTAAAAAAGGTGAAGCATTTCCATTAACCATACCCATTGCTGAAGATCATCTTTAAAATGTGAGTGAGGTCCATTCTGGATGACAGCACTAGTAAGGACACATTTGAGGCAGGTGTCATTTAAGTGATTTACAACCAAGTCAGATCCTAGTAGCCCTAAAAGAGGAAGCTTGCTGTGGAGGGAGGGGGAAAAAAGACATGTGGACAAGTCTTTGCTGTTGTGATGATAGTAGTGAGAAATTAGAGCTGTTTGTGGGAAAATTGGGAAATCCACAGCTCATGAAAGGCGTGAATCATCTTCCTTGTGAATACTAAGTTAGCAAACATGCATTGATGACTAAAAAGTTATTTTGGTATTGACTTCTGCAATTAGAAAAAGTGGCTTGCCAAAGGAGATATTTTGTTGCTGTTAGATGTGCTGTGCATACCCATATTTAAATTAAAACATGTGCACGTTCCTTTTCTGCCTGCCAGTCCTACAAGGTATACACAAACTTAGTAGACCAAGGGATGATGAACTAAAAGTTAAGTATCTGAAGCACTTGGTTACATGAAGTGCGAAGGAATGTAGCTGTTGTAGAAATATGGAAATGACATTTGATGCAGTGAGGAGCACCCTTGCTGCATGGGACGCAGTCTCATGCAAAAGCAAAGCCGGCCTTGAACACCAAAAGGAGCGTCCACACTGACCCAGACTAGAATGAGCTACAGAAATGGATTGTCCAATCAGTGTGGATGTTTTTGTAAATGTTGGCTACCTCTGCTGTTATTGTGTCAGCAACAGGCACCTCGAATTGGAAATTTGTAGCGAGTATAAAGGAAGAAGAGAAAGAAGCTGCTTAAGCCTGGGAATCCTGCAAGAAAAGAAGCTTGGACGATGTGAGCAGTGACTGAATTTGTGATACATTAGAGTGCCTTGAGTGACTGTCCACAGCATTGGGCAGGACTGCTGAGTTTGTTGGAGGGTCTAAACCACGGGGAAAAGCCCAAGTTCACAGTTGTATTTCTGACATGTAACTGGTTTCCAGTCACCTAAAACTAAGAAATTCTTGCCCGTTCATTTCTTCTTTGACTCCCTTCTAGTAGCCTTCTTGTTTATTGTGTTTGCAGCTCTTGAGCGTGAGCCAAGCTGCTGCCAGTCCAAGCTCTGCTCCCTGGTGCTGGCCTGCTATGGCCTGCTATGGCCACTCACGGCATTTCTTGGATGGGGGTGGCTCGTTGTGGGACCTGGAGAAATTCTGAAGTGAGGAGTGTGCAGATGAGATGTATAGAAGGTGTCTGGGGCCTGACTAGGGCTAGGAACAGGGTGACACAAGGCAGTTCTGTGTCTAGATTGGCATGATGGTATGGCAGCTCCAAAGATGTCTTTCCAGCTTTCCCTTTTTTTGTCCAGAAAAATGTTCCATCTCTGGCATGAGTCAAGGATGTTTCCTCCTTCCCATGATTCCCAGGATGGTTGTTAGTGGGGAGGAAGATGTTATCTGTTGCCTCTAGTTCTTCCCTATGGGATCTTTGAGTACTACAGTTGGTCAAGAGGGATGAGGATCAGGGGATTGGAATGGCATCCCCCTCACAGAGGGGTTGTGGTGGATCTTACCTATGATTCTAGATGCTGTGGAGTCATTTAGGCTGAGGTGGACATTTCCTGTCAGGTTATAATTGGAGAGACCTTTTTGACTGGTTTTAAGGTGAAAACAAAAAGTGAGACGCATTAACAAGGTACATACAGAATAGTAGACAATATGCGCTTGTGTCTTTCTCTGGGAGACCTGTCCCTGAATTGCCTGGCAGTTATTAGAAAGACAGCTTTGGGCAATTAGGATCAAAGGCCCTCTGATGGATGTACTTTTAGCTTTTTCCCTCAGGGGGAAGGGAAAAGCAATTCCTAATACACAAAGACCCTAATGAGGGGGGTTGGGGAGTAAGACCTAAATTACAAATTTATAAATATATGTATAAATGTGTGTATGCACGGATATTCTATAGCTGGCAATATCAGTTCGTTTACATTCCCCATAGGAAGGGTAGCATTTGGCAGTTACAAAATTCTTAAATATCTTTAGAGATATTAGAAGAAAGGTCATAAAAACCACAAAAATACTATGAAATGAATCCCGGCAGTCGTGGCTTAATGGGCCCTGTGACACAGGTCCAAGAGCCTGGTGGGCATAGCAGAGGCTGCAGAGGGGTAAATGGCATTCAGAGTCTGAATTATGCAGAGCCCCACTGTTGGCACATCTGAGTGGCTGCTGGGTTTGACCTTGGTTTGAAAGTTAAGCCAGAATAGTACAGTCAGAGTTCAGCGACATGAACTTTGGAGTTAATTTCACAGGCGCTATAATTACTCACATTGTGTAACACTTGATAGTTTGCAAAGTATTTTCCTCACAACATTTTCTCATTAGTGTCACTGATGTGTTTTGTTCTTCTGTACCTGTGTCAATAGGAGCATCTTTGTAAAACTAAATGTAAGTAGACTTAGAAATTTGGATCTCCAAAACAAGTTCAGAGTACTCTGCTCTTTCCAACCTTTTGTATCCTAATGAGTGGGGAGCTTCAGGTCTTAGGACTGACATTTCTAAAGAGGGATTTGGGGAAGCAGTGTGTATGGTATGGTACACCGTCCAACTGACAGAACTGGATTTGAGTTCTAGCTTTGTTACTGCTTAGCCCTGTGACGTTTGGGTAATCTTCAGATTCCTCATCTATAAAATGAGTGGGTTAGTTTAGATGGGTTCTCAACTCCCATCCAGCTCACAACAATCCATGATTCTGTGACTACAAACTTAGGATGAATGACATTCATTTGCTGCTCCGAACCAAACTGAACTCAAATATCCATGTTCTCTTTCATAGCAAATTAAGCTTATTTTTTGAAAGTGGTTTGGTTTGAGAAATTAAATTTTTAAAAATTCCTTAAGGTAATTTCAGTTAACATAATTGTGTTTAATTGAAAGTACTAGATGAATGTGAGGATACCAGTTCCAGTGCCCATAAAGGTATCATCAGTGTGAGACTGAGGAGCATATTCTGTAAGATTTACTCGTTAGTCTAATTTCTTTGATTGCCGTATAAACTCATGGGGTTTTGTTATCTTCCATGCCCCTGCCCAGAAGAGTAGTCTTCACTACTCTTCAGGAAATACTGCTTTTGCAACTGAACTTAGTGTTCTGTGTTGTTGTTTTGTTTTGTTTTTTTAATTAGATTGGATTGGTAGTCTCAATAATAATAACTGGCATTTATGTAGCACTTAAGGGTATGGCATAGTGGACAAAAAGCTGGCTTTGTAGATGGGCAGTCTGGGTTCAAGTCTCTGACACTGGTTGTGTGACTCTGGGCGTTGCCCAAGCTAACTCCAGTTTGCAAACTAGTGGCAAATTTCCATTGGGAGAGGGTTTGGACTTGAGTTCAGTTTGTGCTACTTGAATTTCAGTCATGGCTATTCAAATGAAATCTAATTGAGTGTCAGAATGTCCTTTTGAATGGAATGAAAGTGCTTAATGTGTCTTATGTATCATTTTTCTTTTTAGAATTGAACCTTTTCACCAACACTCAAGGTACTCAGCGTGAATTTAAAGTGTTATGTATAGTAAGAGCCACCAATGACTGTCTCCCTTTAATAGCCTCCATTAGGCCATTGATCTGTCCAGTCTCTAGTATATAGTTACATGGTGCCAGTGCTTTGCTCACTATGACTTAATCTGTAAAGCAGTTGTTAATCTCTGTCTCAACTCCAATGTTATGCCAAGACCGTGTTGTGCAATAAAAGTATGTGTGTCTAAATTCAAAACAGCTTGATTGTTTTCATTGACTTTAAATCCACACTTTATGGATGCCTTTTTAGAACATGCCTTTTCCTGCCGCCCTGTTGAACCATATCCTACAAAAAGGAAAAAGAGTGAAGCAAAAATAAGCAACATGGGAACCTTGTTTGACAAAGCAGACAGCCTCCTTTCTATCTAGGGAAGTCTTCTGCTACTGAGATGAAGATAGAAAACTGTCTGTTTGCAAGGGGCATTGTAATTTTTTCCATTGTTTTAAACATATCTATGATTCTGCTCCTACTCATCACGTAATCTTCCAGTGTTTCTCTGAATTCTGCATGTTCATTTCTTGCCATATTTCTTTATGGTTTATCACAACCATTTTTCAGTTTTTGTTTTTGGTTGGTTTTGTTTCGATTCTTTTTTTCTTTGCAGGAGTGCTTTAAGTCAAATGAAAGGGCCTGGATTTAGTGTGATGTGGAACCTTGTGTCTTAATCTCTCTGGGCTTCAATTTCCTTATCTTTAAAATGAGGGGATAGAACTAAATGGCCTTTCAGTCCCTTCCAGCTCTGACATGCTTCTTTCATCATCCTGGTAGTCTAGGGTGGTAATTGTCCGTAGCGATTTTTCTTTGAATACAGGGCCTTTTGTTTGCCCCACCAGGCAAACCCATCCAAGATGTGAGGCAGGAATTTACACTTACTGTTGCTTGTCCCAAACTAAAGAGAAAATTGAGCCCTCTGTTTGTTATTGTGTTGGTATCCCTGTGCTCCCTCACCTGAATTATCAAAGAACGCGCACGTGAAGAAGAACTTCAACCTGGGCCTGATTTGGGGTGTGGTCCCTGGTTTAAGCAGGCTGCCAGTTTTAGAGCTTCCATTAAATGACAGCATCTGCAGGTGTGAGTAATTAGAGGGGTTTTTGTTTTTGTTTTTTTGTAACTGAAAATTCATCACCATTTCCCACGAAGTAAAATTGCTCATAATTACATATTTGACTAGGAAATAATTTTGAAAATCATTTCTTGGTAAAAGTATATAAAAAGGGACTTTTAAGAGAAAATCGGTTTAAAATACTCTCAATCCATGCAAAATATTTTAAATCTCCATTTTGCTTGCAAAATTTAAATCAGTATTTGTTGAACACCGGAGCATAGCACAGTTGTTACCATAGAGAACACTGGAGAAATTCTTAGCAGAACAACAGCACAAAAGCAAATTCTAGGAAAGCACATCAGCTTTGTCCTGAGACCACAAAGTCTGGAACTGCTGGTCAAGGCAGTCAGAATTTTGTTATATGGAAAATAAGGTTGAACTTCTTGAATTATTATAAATCCACTTTATTAGATTGCAGAGTTTTAGGGCTTGAGTCAATGAGTGTGATGTCATCTAAAAGCAGGAACACCTGGAAGACTCCATCTATCAGAAACCCCTTTTTCATTTGGACTAGGTGCTGCATATCCTCTGGGAAGGCAGTGAACACCCTTGGTGACCCTATGACCCCTTGCTCTTTGCCTTGATGATGTCAGTGATCAGAACACAGGCTAAACAAATATAAAATGGAAAAACAGGATGCAGCCCAGGAACGACCAACATTTAGTATGCTGTAGAGGGTCTGCTCTAAAGCTGGAAGGATCTTAAGACATCCCACAAATTCACCAATGTAGCTTAGAAAGAAAACGCCATAAAATAAGGCGTGTGCCAGTCTTAAGTAAACCAGATAAGAATGTACACCAGGGTTAGGGGAATCCCTTTGGCACCTTCATAGTTATGCCTTATGGATTCACCAGTCACTCTAGCTATTTCAGTGAATGTGTTTCCCTTAGCTCCCTTACTGGGGAGAAGGGCCTAGCAGACCAACTTAAATAACTTTGTAAGCATTTTTAATTGAAATATACGTTTCGTGTATTTGTTCCCTAGGTAGACTGTGTGGTCTTTTCTGGGGCCAGAACATGGCTTCTCTTCCTTTATGGCATTCCACTCCCTTCACACAACAAGCCCTCCATAAACGTCGACAGACTGTGGGGAACCCCATAGCGTCACTCCCCACAAATTTAGGAATAGAAACAATACTGAATCCAGTAACAACTGCAGGGGAATTACCAGGGGGGTGGACAGATGGTTAATGACTAGTTTGGAGTGTTAACAATTACCAAATTTAGATTGTCAAGCCTTCTTTATAGAAAACAAATCAGATTCATGCTTGTGTGGGCAAATAACTCTACCACAAAGAAACCACACGCCATGTGGGGAAACTACAATCAGTGCTCAGACTGCTCAGGCCAAGAGCACCAGGCTTTCTACATACAGGCTGTTGGGTGTGGACCACAACTCTCCCCCCAACCCCCCAGCCTTCTGAGCTACAATCCCCACTTCACCACACTTTGTATTGTATGTATCTGTGTCTATGTTCATATCCCTGCCAGCAAAATGCAGTCCCCTGGAGACAAGGACTGCATTATGAGATCTTTATTGTCTCACCTAGCGCACATCCTTTCTCTGTCTCTCCCTACCCCCGGCCCTTTTGCCTATTTGGCCTTGTTGTCATTGAAGCGTATCAGTCCTGGAAGAAACACTGGGGGGCAGGGGGAGGGGATGGGTCTTTCAAGTTGCCAATAAGCAGCCTCTCCGTAATACTGAGCAGTCTTCTGTATTGTGTGAGAATTTTTTTTTTATCTTACAGGTGCATCGAATTAGCCAGTGTTATGTAGACTGTTTTGGACTTTTCAGGACAGTCTTGTAATTCCATATCACCACTCACCTTGCTCCCTAAAAATCTTCAATGGCTGCCTATTACCTCCAGGATAAAATTCACACTGGCGGTCAAGCGCCTCCCAAATTTGTCTCCACCCAGCCTTTCTGACCTGATTTCACATTCTTCTCCTTCTCGTTTACCTCTGTGCTTTGCCAGAGGCCCTTACCTCAGGGAGCTTCCGTTCTGCTTAAAGTGGTTCAAGAGTTTGGCAGTTCTTGGTTAGAGATACAATCAAGAGAACACAGACACATCGCATTAGATAGATGTGAACACTTGAGAAAGAAAGCATCTGGCATCAGGCTATTCACTCTTGGACTTCTTCCCTCATTGCGTTTACTGAAAGACTGGCTGTAAGGGGAGACCTGAGGGCCTTCTCCCCTTTGAGGTCATGTGGCCCAGAGTAACAGGCCTCACTCTTTGGCCTCTGCATTTGTTCTGTCCTGTTATATGTGAAGGGAATGGAGCCACCGACCTTGTGAGTTTCGAAAGGTCAGGAGGACATCCTGGCATCCTGGTGTTTCAGAGTCCATCCAGGTTTGCAGCCAGTACAACATTGATGTTCCAAGCAGGAAAGAGTGACTGAGACCCATGCTACATCCAGATGTAAACTTAGTGGGACCCCGTTTATATGTAAGAGTTGTGCTAAGTTTTGAACCTGCTCTCTCTCTGTGATCACTGTGGTATAGGGGAAAGTCCAGAGCTATTGAGGGCACGTACTGGTATTGTTTTCCCTTGATTCGTCTTTGAAGTAAATAACCTCGTGAAAGTTAGAAAAAAAGAAGGAAAAAAGAAAAAGCTGGTTTGAGAAACTAGTCTTAGTGAAGTAGATGCTGAGGTCATCTGCTCAGAGGGAAGAGACATAGGGGCATTCAAGCTGGGCATTTAAGGAAAGAAGAGAAGGTTTATAACAATTTCTGCAGAACGTATGATAGAGGTAGAAAGAATTGAATAAAAGAACTTCTCCCTAGTACTGAGGGCCCAGTTGAAGTTAGCCATCATGAACATGTGGCACCTTGGAAGTGGAGCCATCTTGGGATTGGAACAAGAGCGGAGGACCAAGGTTGATGGCAGTGAAAGGAGGGTTCTGTCACTGGGCAAAGAGCAAAAAATTAATCCCTCTGGAGTGTCAGACTTGGAAGAGGAATAAGAAGATACTGACAGACTTTCCAAGACCATGCAGGTTTGCTGCATTAGCATCATTGCTGTGAAATCAGAAGCACGATCCTAAGCGTTGGCCGTAGATGCTTTGTTGTACCATTTGTTGGTGATTCCTGGGTCCCCAGCCCCTGGCTGTCTCTCCCGTCTTCTCTCCTTGTCTGTTTCTCCTCTCCTAATCTTCCACGATCCCCAGCACTTGTCTCTCTTCATCAACATCATCATCTTTCTGTTACATGCCCTCAATACCTGTGCTTTATGCTAAAATTTTGCATAAAACTAGTAGGAAAATCAAAGCAGGTCTAAATAAACCACATTTCTAAAAGGACCACTTAAACATGTGACTTGGATTGTGATTGATGTTTGTAGAGAGAGATGTGGTGATTGAAATTTGCCTGACTCCCTTTTCTAAGTTTGGAGACTGGCTACTGGACTTTTTCGAGGCCCTCTAAGTGATAGAGGGAGCTCAGCAAAGAAAAAACTGACTTACTAACAAACGGAGAGGAGCCCAGGTCAAAGCTGACAGCAACAATGAACCAAGAAAACCCTCTAGAATAGATCAGAAGTTCTAATTTTTAAAATTTATTTATTTATTTTTGGTGAGGCATTCAGGGTTTTGACTTGCCTAGGGTCTCACAGCTAGTAAGTGTCAAGTGTCTGAGGCTGGATTTGAACTCAGGTCTTCCTGTCTCTAGGGCCAGTGCTCTATCCACTGTGCCACCTAGCTGCCCTTTAATTTTTTTTAAGGTGCAATAAGCAACTATCATATTCCGAATTGAAGACCATTTCTATTTAAAAATAACGTCAAAGTGTTAGTTAAACAGAGTGGACCAAGAAGCACTCTGTTCTTTTCTACCAAATAACCACTGGTATCCTCTGCTCAATTACTGTTAACCACAAAAGATACAATTGAAATAAACTTTTATTTCATTATATTAATTTAACCCAGTAATTTGTGGTCCAAACACATAAAATACCAACAGTAAAATTCATGTAAAAATTAGAAATCTTTTTTTTTTCTTTCTTTACTCTTTACCTTTGACTGTCTTCTACCTTGTAGTTGTGACAGAATTTTCTGTGCCATCTTTCAAAAGTCAAGTTTTGGAAATGTTGCTAAGAATTTCAGGATTCCTTTTAAACCAAGATAAATCTAAAGCCTGGAAAAGGCATTTGTTGTGCAATGATTTTTCCTTTGAAGATACAGTAAGGCCATCTGGAGCATGATACAAGGAAGAAGAAATGGACTGAATATTTAACATGTATTGGAAAAGTAATGTGTCCACGTGACAGAAGCTGAGAGTAGTGCATCCCTTCAAGCCCATAAAAATCTGATTTTACTCATTTGAAATACATTAAATTCATTCACTTCTTGCAGAAGATGGACATCTTTGGAGGGAAATTTCCAAACTCAGATATTCATGCCATGGCAATGGGGGTGGTACTCCATTTTAGGGAGAGACGGATCATTTCATTCAAGTTAAGCATACTGGTTTTGAAGAAGCAGGATAATCTAGCAGTGTATTTAAGCAAAACTTGTGCATTGTCATGTGGAGGAGAAATTTCCCAATGAAGTCAAGTCAACAAGCATTTATTAGGCACCTTCTATTCACCAGCCACTTTCTAGTGCAGTGGTTCCCAAGACCCCATGCTAAATATGGCCACCCTCCTGCCCATATTGGGGGCATCTACCTGCTCCTTCCTTTGAGAGCTTCTACCACTCCTCTCCAACCCAAATCCTCAAGAATCTCTTTCTTGTTTAGGATGAATCAGTATTTGACCATCAGCAGCTTTCCTCTACATATGTATTCATTGTACCCAAAAGAATAGAGGCTAGAACTTTGTAGCCAACTGTATGGTTGTTTTTTTTTGAGGGGGAGGGGATTCAGACATGATTTCATTGAAATAGGGAACTCCTGATGAGAAAACTCCCTCTACAAATGCAGGTCAGCACCCATTCCGACACTTGTAGGTATAGAAATGTCTCTTGGACATGCTGACAGGTTAAATAACTTGTCCAGAGTCACATAGCTAATATGCACTAGCTTTAACCCAGGTCTTGCTGCCTTTGAGGCCAGCCTTTTATCCACTACACGTGGCTGCCAGTATCCATATATATACACATAGACCTGCCGTGATGTGTGTGTCTATGTACTAGTCTTGGAGAGAGAGTTGTATGGGGCCCTGAGAGGTTAAGTGATTTGTGTATGGGTCAGAAGCAGGACTTGAACCCCGTTCTTGCCCGTCCTGTGACTGTACATATATATATATATATATATATATATATATATATATATATATATGCATATGTATGTATATATAAATACACATACATACACACATCTATGTGTGCATACATAGAAGATTCATTACTCTTGATAATCTATAGAGCTGTATGTATAACAGCATTAGAAACAGTGTTGTTTCATGGTTTGCCTTGACTGCCCAGCCCTGCTTTCTCCCTTCAGTGAGAAGGGTTAAAAGTGGAATAACAAATGACATTTGGTTCATTCACATGGGCCAGGGCAGGGCAGAGAGATGGAAACCTAGGCGCAGGGGAAGAGAGAGGAGACAGACAGTCTGAAGGGGCTGCAGAGTTTGGTAGAGACAACATTGGACCAGGAGTCAAAGACGTCGGTTTTCTGCCACCAAATCGCCAGGGGACTTTGATTAGTCGTCCCTGCCTGTACCGAGAGGATACCAGTATCTTCACTGCCCATTTCACAAGGTGTAGTGAGCATGCTGGGAGATGGTGAATAGGAAAGCCCTAGACATGTACCAGCTATCATCATTTTTATGAAAGGAGGTTTCATTGATTTGAATCAGCATTGTCCTAGATCCATCTCATGATTCGCTTGAGGTTTGATTACTCAGCTAAGCCAGATACTCACTTTGAAGCTTTGCTGACTCCTGCCTATCCCCTCTCACTCCCATTCCACAGCTCCTCTTCCCTCTCAACATGAACCTTTGATTGTTTCTTCCCAAGGACTTAGGCAGAGTATCCTAAGTTCACAGACGTAGAGCTATAAAGGACCTCAGTCGTCTCTAAGGCCAGCCCCTTCATTTTATGGTAATCTGAGGCAAAAAGAGGTAAAGGGATTTCCTCAGGGCCATGTGGGCAGCCATATTTGGACAGAAAGGGGATTCACTGCACAAAACATGTTTTCTCTTTCACTTCATTTCATGACTGTTGTTGTTTGTCCTTCATTTGCAAAGAGGACCGTCACCTGAGCAAGGTGATGTCATGAACTGCAGGTGAATCGTATTTAAGTGAGGCAGGGCTATGCAGAGTCACCAGCCTCACTCTGTCCTCTGGGGCCACCTGGGTCCAGTGGCAAGAACCAGGTCAGGACTACTGCAGATGACCCCGGATACAGTGGGAGGCCTGGGCCTTTTTAAGCTAAAGTCTGTATAGACACAGCCAGAGATAGATGTTCAGGCTCCTTTCTCATGTCAAATGTGAAGAGTGTGGTTTTAAGACAGGACAGTCTTTTCATCCTGACAGTTGAAGTACCTGTCTATACATTCATTTTCTCACAGTAGTGAAGAGTATTGATCCTCTTATGCAGCTAAACTGACGTCAGATTCACAACTAGAGATTTTGGACATTTCCTGGACATCTCATGGCTTTATAGGATTGTAGACTTAGGGCTGGAAGGGAATTCAAAGGCTGTATTCTCCCACCCTCTCATTTTACAGATGAGGAGACTGAGGCCCAAAGAAGGAAGTACGGCGGTCAACATCCCATGGTCAGGAAATGATAGAGCTGGGATGTAAACCTAGGTCTTGTGACCCCGAGCTCTTCACTGCATCTTGCTGTGACTTGCTCCAAGCCACCGAAGAGCTTGAGTCTTGGGCTGTTTCAAGGACCTTGGGGCCTTACACGAGGGCAAGCTTCTGTCTGGTGTTTCCGGCCTTCATCGTTGATCCACAGCATGCATGTGGTCAAACCTCCATACCTGGTTGGCTTTCCCGTCACACAGTTGCAAGGACAAGTTTTTCTCATGGTCACTCTCCACAGCTTCTATGCATTTCCCCGAAAGGATGTGGACAATCATTCCATTCTAGAAAAAAAGAAAGTATTCCCACCTCATTTTTCCATTCAGTAAGCCTGTATTAAGAATCTGCTCTGTGCCAGGCACCAGGAATCCAAAGATCAAAACTTAAGCTGTCTCCTAAAATGTTCTGTTATCAATTATCTATCAACACCTGTTATCTATTCGGTCAGTCAATAAACATGAAGCATATACTATGTGCCAGGCACTGTTAAACACTGGGGAAACAAAGAGACAGGTTCACTTGGGGGGGAACCGTGTACTCAGAAAAATAAATACAAAAATTTGTGACCTGGCTTTTTCCTCTCAGGATTTTTTTTTTAAACCATTCAGTCTGATTTCATTTGTCACATTATCATCATAGTTTCAGAGCTGGACCTTGGAGGTCATTGTGTTCCACTTCCTCACTTTATAGATGGGGAAACTGAGGCAGGCAGCGGTTAAGTGACTTGCTTAGGGTCACCTACCTATTAAGTGTCTAAAGCAGGATTTGAACCCAAATATTCTGATTCCAAGTCCAGGACTCTACCCACTGTGCTATACTGCCTCATGATCAAAGGGGGCAAAAAGGGTATTTCCAACAATTATGCTAACTTTGAACAAAATAATAAATACAATAAACTCTGATTTGGCCTGGTCAGTGTTGTGGTTATTAATAAAAGATTCTGGTCCCACAAACAAGACCCTCCCTCTCCAGACTAGGTATTTTCTCTGCCTGTCCGCCATGTCTGGAACACTCTCTCTCGTCAACTCTGCCTACTGGTTACCCTGGGGTCTTCGTATACTCTTCAGGAACCTAGGGTCTTCCACTTTTGTAGAGGACTAAAATGTTACTAAACCTAATTGAATCTTCCTCTGATGACTCAGAAAGCTCTTCAGGATTAGAGAGGACCCCTTAGGGATATTGTCATGATTGCACAGTAATAGTTAGTGGAGATTTCCAGTTAATTAGAGATTCAGACCAGACCTTTGCTCTTAACACAGCCAAAATACTCTTTCTACTCATTGTTACATTTACTTCATTTCATTTAGCTGATTCAGCCTCCAAAAGAGGTTTGTTCATTTCTTGGAAAACTGAATCAACAGTACCTTGTTTGCCTAAAATTCCTGTAATAAATTGATGCAGACCCACCCACCAGCTTCCTACTTGAATTTTCCACTTATTAAAGAAAATCAGAAACTTAATTCCTTATTAAACCTTTTGTTTCCCTCCTTTTCTCTGCTTTGTGGCTCACTGGCTTCCTTCGAGTCCCAGCTAAAATCTGACTTTTTGCAAGAAGCCTTTCCCTGTCCATCCTCTTCACCTCGCCCCAAGGCTAATGCTTTTTCTTAGGAACTACCTTCAGTTTACCCTGTATGTGTCTTGGGTGCACACGGTTGTTTGTAATTGTCCCCATTATAGAATTTGGCCACTTTGCAGTCAGGGAATGTTTTTTGCCTGGCACATAGTAAGTGCTTGATGAATGCCAGCTGAGTTGTTGTTATTAAATCATGGGAGGATATTGCGTGCCTTCTTAGTGGATGAGGGAGGAACTGAAGGGAGGGAGAGAATTTGGAACTCACATTCTTTTTAATGTTAAAAATAAATCATAAATTTATTTTTTAGAAAAAGGAAAAGACATTGGGGAAGAAGAATAGAGCTCACCACCAGTAATAATGGGCTGGTCACTATTGTATAGCTTTGTAGAAGTTCTGATTGCTTTCAGTGAGCAACTCAGACAACAATACTAACTAGCATTTATGTAGCACTTACTGTGTGCTGGGCTGGGCCGAGCACTTTACAAATATTGCCTTATTTGATCCTCACAACACCCTTAGGAGGTGAGTGTTATTATTTTTCTCCATTTTATAGTTGAGGAAACTTGAGACTATTAAATAGAAGTTAAATGACTTGATGAGGGCCATTCAGGGGGAAGGTGGCAGAGGCCATGATTCTAACCCTGATCCTAAGATCCCAAACTCTGCATTCATTCAGACATAGCACCCTGCCTCTTGATTTAAGGTAACCTAGTGTTTGGGAAGGGCATTATGGCCAGAAGGGTAGTTTTTCGTGTATTACAAGAAAACATTTTGGAAATAGTGTTGGCAATTCATCTGTGTCTTGGCCAAACTAAACCGTAGGTGAAGTTTGTCCTGGAGACACTATCCCCTTTGCTTCCCCTGGTAGCTCTAGTCCAGACCTGTTATAACCTGTCTAAGCCCTGTCATCCTTTAGCCCTCTCCCTAGTGAGATCTCAAGGAGAGATCTGGAACGCAGTGTAAATGACTGATAACGGCAGAAAGTGTTCCCTTTTCATGAGTATTTGTATTTGATTAATGATCGTAGCCTTACATTAAAAGAATGAAGCTCTGGCATTTTAGATGAGAAGGAGCAGGTGGGATATCTGGGAGACGGAGAGCTGTATTGAGGGTCAGTGGGAATGCTGGCCTGTAGAGTATCAGAGAAGGTGAAATGCCCAATGAGGCCAGAAAGGGAGGTTGGGGCCACGTTGTGAAGGACTTTCGAAGCTAAACAGAGGAGCTTGCAGTTGATGCTGGGGGCATTAGCAAGCCCCTGGAGTCTATTTATAGACTAGGGAGTGACATGGTCAGATGGGCAGTGTGGAGGATGGACTGGGAGGGGGGAAGCAGGATGACCAGTTAGGAAGCTGTAGCAGTAAAGGCAGAAGGGAAGGGGGCTGAACTAAGGTGGCAGCTATGTGAGTGCAGAGGAGGGGGTGGAGGTGAGAGATGGGTAGAGGGAGAAACAGCAACATTGAGCAGCTGGTTGGATATGTGGCATGAGGAAGAGTGGACAGTGGTCCAGTCAAAAGCATTTAAGTAGCCCCTGTGCTAAGTGCTCAGGTACAAAGAAAGGCAAAAAACATCCCTGCCTTCAAAGAGCTTCCATTCTAAATGGGGGTTGGTGGGTGGGTGCTGTTACTGCCCCCATTTTACAGTTGGACAAACTGAGACAAGCAGAAGTTAAGTGACTTGCTCAGGATCACATAACTAGAAAGTGTTTGAAGCTGGATTTGAACTCAGGTCTTCCTGACCACAAGCCCAGCACTCTCTCCACTGCACCACCTAGTTGATCCCAGGACAGAGCCATAGGGGACACCCACAGTTAGATGAGCCATGGATGAAGAACCAGCAGAGGAGACTACTGAGGAGTGGTCAGACAGATAAGAAGGGAGCAGGGTCCCCAAAACTAAAGAACATAGATTATCCATGAGGAGAAGGTGACTGATGGTGTCACATGTCTCAGAGAGGTCCAGAAAGTGGAGGACTGGAGAAAGATCATCAGATTTGACAAGAGATCACCGGTAGCATTGGAGAGAGTCAATATCAGTCACCACATTGTTGGATGGTGAGGGCAGAAGCCAGGCTGCAGAGATGTCTAGATCATTTTGGCGGGGAAGATGTCCTTGCCTGTGCCCCTAACATCCCATTCCATCATTCGATTTCGCTCCCTCAACCACTCACTCTCAGGATCAGAGCTTTCTTAAGTATCCCGAGATTCTAACGTGCTAGTGCCTTTCTTCAACAAAGTCAAGGATATTCGGATTTACCAAGGGCATTCATTTTACCTTTTGACTGTGGGTAACTTAACCTGGTGAACGAAAAGGAGAGAACCAAGCTACAGAGAAGAGATTTCTACATTGGGTTGACTCCATACCTCCTGAACATCCCAGTGCTGCTTCTGGAAGGAGCGAGTCTCCTCCGTGCAGTTCTGAAGAATCACCCGTCCGTCCTGGCTCACATCAAAGCAGAGTGTCTTTCCACAGCTGATTTGCTTCTTGCTGCCGTACTCCAGGCTCTGCAAGGTAGAGCATGCTCACTAACTGGGTTGCCCAGATGGAGGCGCTCAGTAATTTTGCTACACTGCTTTTTTTTTTCTTCTTTTTTATCCTTTATTATAAGAAATGGCTTGCTGGGTTAGGGAGCTAAATGGTACAGTGGGTAGTATGCGGGACCTGGAGTCAGGAAGACCTGAGTTCAAATCCAGCATCAGATACTTACTAGCTGTGTGGCCCTGGGCAAGTCACTTAACCCTGTTTGCCTTAGCTTCCTTTTCTGTATAAGTGAGCTGAAGAAGGAAATGCCAGGCCGCTCCAATAGCTTTGCCAAGAAAACGCCAAATGGGGTCATGAAGAGTTGGATAGGACTGAGAAACAACTGAACAACTGCTGGGTTGAGGGAAAGGGAGGGAAATTTTCAGGAATGAAAGCGATGTAAAGACAGAGGTTATCTATCTGTGTCTGTGTCTCTGTATCTTTCTATCTATCTCTGCATCTATCTATGTTTAAAAGTGTGGCTGCTGAGACAGCTTCCAAACCACTTTGTCTCCCAAGGCAGACTGGCCAGGGTCTCCTGAAATGCATCTCACTGTGACTGACAGAGAGAAATCCTACTCCCACCCATAGGTTTAGAGCTAGACAGGACCCCCAGTGGTCAGTGGCTACAATTTCCTCATTTTGCAAATGAGGAAACAGGCCCAGAGGAAGGGAGTGGATTGCCAGAGGCAACCACAACTTAGTAGGAGCACAGCCATGATCCAGACACTACTGGTTGTGTGGCCATTCAGTCTTTCTGAGCCTCAGTTTCCTCACCTGTAAAATGGGGATAATAGTGACCTCCTAGGGAGGTTCTGAGGGTGTGCTGTGATAAGCATGTGAAAATTCATTGAAGAACTCTGAAATGCTATCTAGATGTCAGGTTTTATAATCTCATCACCTCTCTTTGTTGGCTTGCCCATCTATTAGGAAGGAGACCAGTGGTGTAAGGTTAAGTGAATGAAGCCTGGGTGAAGAGTCAGGAGACCTGGATATGAGGCTTATGGGTTTAGAACCAAAAGGGACGTTGGAGCCCATCTGGAACCTCCTCACTTTACAGGGGCCTGAAGAAGCTCAGTAACTCACTTGAGTTCACAATCGGTGGTCAGTGACAGGTGGGCTTTGAACCAGCTAGGTCCCCTGACTCCAAGCCACAGGTTCATTTTCCCTCTACCTACTGTGGGTCTGCCATTTAATGGACGTGTGTTTTGGGGCAAGTTACTTCACTTCTTAATTCAGTCTTAATGTACTTATCTGTAAAAGGGGGATAATCACACATTCCTGACTTCTGTGAGTGGGATGGGGTGGGAAGATGAAACAAGGCAGTGTTTGTAAAGGGGCTTCATAGCTTACGAATGTTCAATTCACATGAAAGACGTCATTGTCATTATTGGTGCTTGTGCTCTGACGTGGGAAGAAGGTCTGGCCATGGGGCACTGCTGAGCAGGACACGTCACGTGGGGCGTTGTTGTGCAGGGGGCCAGATATTCAGTATGTGTTGAAGCATGAGGACTCTGAATGTGTGTATAGGCAGGAGTAAGGACACGTCAAAAGGGAGAGCCCATGTGCTGTAGTGAGGGAGAAAATGAGCCCCGTAGTCAGCGGACCTCAGCTGGAATCCCTGCTCCTATGGGACCAGGGGCACATTCTGGCCCCTCTCTGAGCCTTTGTCTCCTCATCCCTAAAATCAGGGCATTGGGCTGCACAGTCTCTAGGTCCCGTGGTAAATGATGGGGCACCAAAGACAAGGTTCAGCTGCTTGACCGCCCCCTCACCTGTTGCTGCCAGCTGTCACTGCAGGGAGAGAGCGTCACCCAGCTTCCTAGAAGTGCCCCTCCAAGGACGCAGTCTGCACAGGAGCCAACTCCAGAATTGTAGAGCTGAAAACAGTCGTCGACAAGGAGATGACAAGCAAGCCAATAATAACCCAGAAATTCTCTTTTATGGACTGGCCCCTCTTATTCTTCCGTGCAATCTCTGGGGTATGAAATCCAGTTCACAGACACCCAGCAGGATCAAGCCAAAGCCCTTGGGTCCAGGCACTGAGAGAAGCGATTGCATGGGCTCTCCCCGTCATAGATGGGGCTCTCTGGATGATTAAAGTGAGCACCAAGCAGCTGAATCTGAATGTGGAGGTTCTGTGTTGGCCCCCCAGAGGCGATATCTATGGCAAGGCTTTCTAAAGGCTCCTGTTTGCATGATGTTGTTCTAACCTCCCCAAAATGCTGCAAAGTAAAAACTTTACAGTGGAACCCCTCAGTAAAACAAGAGATTGGTCTGGCCATCCACATGCCAAAAGAAAGTGGATGACAAATGCCCTCTGCCCAGATTATGATGTGTAGCTCACCAGGTGACCCATAAATTTAGTCTGCTTATCTCTCTGGATGTCCATCTAATCTTGGACAGTCATCACAGATAGGGAACTGTAGGCTCAGTTAAGTGAGAAGAGAAAGACACAGTGATTGTGTTGGGCTGCATTTAGGAAGTTGTACAGGCTTTTAAACATTCTACGTTGCTCACTCAGCGGGTCAGAATCCTGCCTCTTAACATGAATGTTCTCCTGGTGATTCAAATGGTCTCAAATCAATGAAGAAGAGTATTTATTAAGCATCTACTGTTTGCCAGATACTGGGAATCCAAAGACAAAAATTAAACATACAAATCATAAAACACCAGTATATCAAAAGAATCCAATTATAAGGAACCAAAAGTGATAGAAAGAAAGAAGCATGGTGAGTGTAAATTGGCCACAGCACATTACTCATATGTACTTGCATGCTAGCAGTTACGTAGAAGACACTGTGAAGTCTGTGGATGGCCAGAAAGGGGCACCTTTCAGTCAGTGAGTATGAGAGGTGACTGATGTTCATGCTGGTAGTTACAGTAGTACTTCTGAGGTACCAAAAGCATAACAAAACAGAGGAAAGACTCCCGAGTCTTGGGTGACTCCTCCTAGACGGACTCATGGAAAAACACAGACATAGAAAGAACCCTACACAGTGAAAAGGCTTGGAGAGGCTTCCTTCTGAATTAATTGTGGGGCCCTGCTGTACTTAAAACACTGAGCCCCCAGAGTAGCCAGGGCTGGAGACAGAGCTCTGTGAAAAGTCACACCAGGGTCTCTAGTATAGACCTAGCATCAGGAACCAGGAGAATGGACTAGAGTATGGCCTGTGAGGTGCCTTCTAGTCCCCTGGCCCAGAATTGTACGATTGCAGACCAACACAAACATGGTCATTCTATTCTTGTTTGGCCTCCCTGAGCTTGCCTGGAATGTTCTCCCTCCCATTTTGGAGTGCTTAGCTCTCTCCAAGGCTCTGTTCAAAGACTCTCTCTTTTCAGAGGCCTTTCCTTATTCCTCCGGTTGTTAGCCAGCTCTCCTCCCCGTAACATGTATTGTTTTCTGTATGCATCCTGGATTTTTTTATCCATGAACATATCTCCCCCAGGAGATTGCAAGGCCTTTGAGAGAAGAGATTGCTTCATTCTCTGAGTCTGTATCCTCAGCACCTAGGACAGCATCAGGCACATAGCAGCCATTTAACAAGTGATGGATGCATGGACTGATTGCATTTTCCGCTGTTTCTGCCCTTCGTCCTTCCCTGAGGTCAACTCTTACCTTTCCAGAGAATCCTGGCTTGTGTACAGAGGGGTACAGCTCCGGGGAGAGATTGGACAGAAACCAGTGGAAGGTCCTACAACCCAATCTTTTCTGCAGCTGAAGCCGTTCACTGCAGTCCTGCTTCTCAGCCTGGAGGGGAACACACAGGAAGCATAGTTAATGCCAGATGAATAGCAAAGACCTTGTAGAAAGGCAAAGACCTTGTATTTATTGTTCTCTGTATCCCTGGTGCTTAGCACAGTGCCTGACACACAGAAGGTGCTTAATAATTGTTGGCTTGCAGAATAATTGATTAGTTCAAGGCCATTTTCAGAGCACCGCACTATACCTTTAGACTAGGCTTTTAAAAGGGGGAGTGACCCAGAGATGGAACTGAGATCTGAGGCAACCAGAGATGCCAGTCAAAAATAAACCCCGGTTATTTAGAGGCAACCATGGGAATCCGGTAGCAAGTTGTATGGCCTTAGGAGAGGTAAGTCCTGGGCTGAACCAGGTGGGAGCTAGTGTCAAGGACCCCAGACCCTGCCTTTTACTGGTACTGCATGGATTGTGGTTGTTCAGGTGAAGGAGATGAACTCTGAACTCTGAGTTCTTTCCCCTTCAGGGGGATTCCAAACTAGGGTAATATTATAAGTACTATGGAGGTCCATGGGTTGGTGGTTCTCATTAGAGCGAGAGAGGTTGGCTCTCTGAGCCAAGAGCAGTTTCCCCTTGGGGGCAGAGGGTGGCCTGAACACAAGGACAGTAGGACAGGTTTACAGGGCTGGATAGGGCTAAATTGATAGGCATTAGAAGCAGGGGTTAGATGTGAAGCGGGATTAGATACAGAATTAGGTTCAGGCCCCTGGAGGATGGAGGCCTACTAGAAGGGAAGGATGTTATTTTGGGGGTTGTTTCATCCTCTGTTTGATGTCTTGTTAGCCAAGGTGCTTGCATGGGAGCTGATGGCCTTTTCCCTTTTGCCATTGAGTTCTAAACACAGGGTAGATCCTGAGGTTCTTAGGGGACATCCCGGGTGGAGGAATGATTCAGAAAGAGCACGATTATTGATAGGGCCCCGAGACTGAATCTAGTCTATGTAAATAAATCCAGAGGTATAAGACTGGGCCATGCCTGCTGCTCCTGCTGCTAGTGCTGGTGGTGATGATGATGATGATGATGATGATGATGATGATGATGATGATGATGATGATGATGATGATGAATGTACACTATGTAGCACTTTGGTGAAAGCAAAAGTAAGAGTAAAATTAAGACAAATACAATTGGTGTGTGGAAGCCCCGCAAAAAAGGCTGGCTGAATTTATTTTCAGATGCATTCTTCCTACTGGCCAGTAGGTGGCTCCCTTCACCTTATGAATGAATGAGTGACATTGCAGAAACTGGAAATTAACCTCGGGTGAGACTGTCAGGCTTCCCGTAGGTAAAAGAGAAAAGTGCACCTTATAATAAGCAGGCAATCCAAGAAAAGGCGGCTAGGAAATAATAACACCCTGCATTTGTGTAAGGCTTCAGAGCTTTTCAACAGCTCCCCGCACCCTGTGAGGAGGCAGGGCAGCTTGCTAAGGCTGTGTTTGCATATGAGGGAATTGGTGCTCACATGGCTTAAGGGGGGCTGTGTGGTGCAGTGGGCCCCCAGTCAGAGGGCCTGGGTTCAGATTCTGCCACTGACCCAAGCTTTGCGCTTGGACATCAGTTTCCTCTTTTGTGAAGAGGCCATCTCCACCTTCCAGCTCTGAATCCATGATCTTATGACTTACCCAAGATTACACAACTAGTAAATGGTGCAGCGTGAGCTAAGCTAGGAGGTAAGCAACATCAAGTGGTACAAAAACACCTGCGCTGGTTCATTTTCGGGGTGGGGGGTTGGTTTGAGTATTTCATTCCTCTGGAGAACTCCTAATGTCAGACCTCTGTCTCCCAATGCACTTGACATCTTAGAGAACTGCATGGGGTCACTGAGAGGGTAAGTGGCTTTGCCCAGGCAGGCACTTGAACTCGGGTCTTTCTGAATCTCAGGCCCAGGGCTCCCTATCCACTACGCCTTGATGATGCCATGATGTCTCACTGGAGTCCAGGTTCAAATCCTAGTTCTTCGAATGTGACTTTGGACAAGTCCCTTTGCCTCTTAAAATGCTAGGTCGTCAGTTTCCTCATGTGTCCTGTGGAGAGCTCTGAATAGATGATCTCTGAAATCTCTCCTAGCTGGAGCACACTGACCCTTATCTGTCCAGGTAGCCAGAGGGCAGGAGAATAGCCTTGTGGGATGGCACAGAAACAAACAAAAACACCCTCTGACCAAGCAGCCTCCTAAGAGAGGGGCGGAGGATTTCCCTAAGGCAGGTCAGTCTGGCTGTAAGGACCCGTGACCACCTCCTGATTCTCCCCCTCCCCACAGCCTCTATTTCTGTCCAGGAGCCCTGAATGTCAGTCACCAGGGCACTCCTCCTAATGGAAGGCTGGGGGAAGAGTGGGCATGTGAACTTTTGTAAATTATTTGAATGATAATCACATTTCAAATCAATGCCAACATCATGTGTTTGCCAAGTGTGTGTCATTTCAGCGTGTCTGCTCAATATAACGCTTGGTTGCCTAAAGAAAAAGTCCCCAAACCCAGAAGAAAAATCTGAGCCAAAATCCTGTCCACAGGCTGGTGGACATGCAAACACTGTACTTTCTTATCCAGAGCTGTGAGAAAAAGAGAGAAGTTATCGATCAGTAGCTCAGGAATTGCGAATCAGTGTGGTAGGGTGGAAACAGCATTGGGGCTGCAGCTTAGACACCTGGGTTTGAATTCTATTCTCACAGAGAGCCATAACTAGGGTGGAGCAACTGGTGCTTTACCCCAGAGCACAGAATTTTGAAGGCTCTGAAAACACTTGCAGTCCTTCTGGAGCAGAGTAGAAACAACAGAATTTAGCTTCTACATTGTTTTATTTTGGTTCAGACCTGTAATTTAATGGGTGGAGGGAGCTTCCTGATTTTACCAATTCAAATCAGTAGCAATTGTGTAACTTGGAGTCTCAGAGTTACCTGAGGGCAGTGAGAGGTAAGTGACTTGCCCAGAGTCACACAGCCAATATAGGTTAGAGGCAGGACTTGAGCCCCCAAAGTCATCCTGACTCTGAGGCCAGCTCTGTCCACTATACCACACTGCCCCTCAGAATCTACTTGGCAGGAATAATTGGCTATAATATTAAGCCACCAGAGGGCCTGTACCCTCTCCTTCACAGTGGTACCCCAGGCAAAGTTCTCTTGTCTTCTCCTATCCCTGGCCTCCCACAGGGCCTTTCAGGTTTCTGAGCCTCACCCCCTTAGCAGAATTAGAGGCACCATTTGGGTGGGTTTGCTTAGGTTTCCAAAACTGCCAGTTATAGCTATGCACTCACCCTGTGTGCTTGGCACATATTTGGTGCTTAATAAATGCATGCCGATGGACATTTACTGGCTCTATGGCCACCAGCACCTCATAAAGGCTCAATGAAATTTAGCCTCCCTGTCTGTAAAAAAAGATACCAATATTTGTCCTACTTATCACTCAAGGTTGTTAGTAAAGGGTACTGTAAATCTTAACAGCCACATCCATGTGGATGACTGTTGTGGCCAGCTCTGCTATCCTGAAGGAATGGCCAGCATTGTAAATATCCAAGCAGAGACTCTTTGAGCCCCGTGACTGTTTCACTTTGGTTATTTTTTGTTTGTTTTTTATTCCTGGCACATAGTGAATGGTTTTAGTCAATGCTTGTTGGCTGACAGGATCGCTCCCAGTCCAGCTGTCTGCCTGGGAATTCTCTCCTTGGGGGGGGCCGGTGAACTGGAGAGCTTTGAAGGGTTGGTGGCTGTCAGATTATACATTTTATTGGAATGCCTGTGTGTTACAAGCAAGGATACATCACAGGCAGGATGAGAAGCAGTGTGGTAGAAGGAGTCAGAAAGACTCACCTCTGCCCCTGACTACCTCTGTGACTTTGAGCCTATCGCTTAAGCTCCTCGTCCCCCGGTTTTTCCTTCTGTAGGAGGACAGAGGTGTGTTGGTGACCTTTGAGGTCCCTTCCTTCTCAAGCTCTGTGATCCTGTGACATCCCAAGTGGAGGCAGGTGGGGATCTGTGGGCACTCTCCCCACTTCTCTGTTTTTTTGGTTAGGCAGTGGGGGTTAAGTGACTTACCCAGGGTCACACAGCTAGTAAGTGTTATGTGTGTGAGGCTGGATTTGAACTCAGGTCCTCCTGAATCCAGGGCTGGTGCTCTATCCACTGTACCACCTAGCTGCCCCTCTCCCCACTTCTCTGGACTCGCTCAGTCCCTTCCTTGACCCTTTCTAAGGAGAAGTGGATAAATGGAGGCAGGTGAAGGAGTGATTCCTTCCTTACCTGGCTCAGAGAGAAAGCTTTGGGACTGTGCTGGTAGAAGGTGTCCTTGAAGGAGCCCAGCCAGGTCTCCACAATTCGGATCTTATTCTTGAGGGCCGCTTCTTGGTCAGGGGAGGCATTGGGGGGCTGGTTGCGGTAGACATGCCCCACCCGAGAGCAGGGGAGGATTTCCACAGAGCCACCACAGAGCCATACCTGATGTCAAGGGGAAAAGAAAAAGAGTCTAACAAATCACAAACAGTCCCAGAAGAGAGGGGATGGTAAATTAGAATCTTCAGGGGGCTGAATTTCTTGCACTGGAGCTGTGGTGGGGGAGGAGGGTGCCCAGCGGGGTGGGGTGAGAGGAGGCGGTCTGCTCTTTTAAGAGTCCTGGCAGTAGTGTTGGGGAGGGGGGTGATCGTCCAGAGGTCCTCTGGAAGATGTGGAAGCTGCAGAGAGGGCATGGTGGGCTCCTTTGATGCCTACGGTTTTCTATCCCTGCACCTACTCTATTTCAGATGTGCCCTACCCACCCACCCAGCCCTGAGATTTTTCTAATGTACATTCATTGAAAACACAGAAATGTGCTTCTGCAATCCTGGTGGAAGCCCAGCCCGTGTTCTTCACCTCTTACCCTTATGGAAAGTTCCAGGTTTTCACTCCCCCAAATGGACATGAGGGAATCATACGCTCCAGTGTTTTGAAAGTAATGCCGATCGATGGCCACCACTCCCCCCGGCACCACGGGGCTCCTGGTTGCAGAAGAGGGAGAGAAGGATGCGTTATATCAGAATGGAGAGCTCAGCTACCTTCTTTGGAGGGTATTAGAAAGGCTTGTCCCCCCACAGCAGGTCACTCATTCAACAAGTCTTTATTAGGTGCTGATCACATAGAAAATGCTGCTCAGTGCTGGGGAGACAAACACTATACAGTCCTTGTGCCCAAGGGACTAAAACTCCCCCCTTTGCTCTGAGATCCTCAGCACCCATAGGCAGGCGGTGCTACATTATCTCACGCTGACACTGAAGGACAGGTGATTGTGTCACTAGGAGTCCTTCTTCCGATCATAAGCTCTCTACTCACAGGCTTTGTGAATGGCCATGGCCAAAAAACTCCTTACCCAGTGGCCAACCTGGCGATGAGCCTCTCCAGGTTCGCCAGGGCTGGCCTGTCCTTGGACCCGCACGCAGCCTTTCCCTCATAGGGGTGGCCAGAGCTTGGGTTCTGCTGCTGTAGCCCCTAGGAGCCTACAGTCCCACCTTTGCCTTGGTGAGGCACTGGAGAGAGCCCTGGTGGAGGGGCTAGCCCTCCTGCTCCCAGAAATGGATCCCGTCTCCAGCCAGAAGAGTTAGAGAAGGACAGTCAGTTCTTGTTGGTTCATTCTATATCCACTGATTGATCTGTCTCTCTACCTACCTACTCTGTCTTTGTTCTGTCTTCTCTCTCATCTGTCTTTCCATCTGCTCTGTATCTATCATCTATATATCCTGTCTACATCTGCTCTGTCGTCTCTCTGCTCTATCCTCTCCTCTATCATCTGTCTTTCAGCAGCCTGCAAGAAGTATTGTGCACATAGTGGTGGTCAGTAGGGGCCTGTTGAAATGCAGAGAAAGGTAGCAGGCCCATGCCCTTGACACCTGGGTGAGAAGATTCATAAGCCTCAGGAATGGCATAAACCACTGGTGGGTCTCTGTCTGCGAATCCCCTTCAACTTGAGCAGTTTAGGGTTATAGGACTCAAGTGGAAGGAATACCAGTGGTCACCTAGTCTGATGTCCTCATTTTGTAGAAGAGGAAACCAAGGTCCAGAGAGGCCCAGAAAGAGAAAGGGATTTGCTCACGGTTACATAGTTTGCTGTGACTGACCTAGGGTTCCAATCCAGATCTTTTGATTTTAAGTACAATGTTTTTTCCTTGGGTCTAGATGAAACTGAGAGAGGAACTGATTTTGTTCCCAGCATCGGTCAGTCCCAGGAGCTCAGAATGTTGGAAGAGAGCAGGGTCCAAGGGGCACCCACCTCATGCCTGACCCCAAAGCACCCAGCATAAAGCTGGGCAGTGAGCAGGAGCATAAGACATGACTTGTTTAGCTGGCTGCCATCAGGCACCATTCTGTAGAAGGGGGCTCCAGGGTATTTGCCCTTGAGATCAACAAAAGAAGGGCTGCCACATCCCTTTGGAGTGTGTTCCTGTTCACGCTGGATTCTCCCAGCAGTTGCTAATGCTCTAAAGATGACAGCAGAGCATGCCGGGAAATGGCATCTTACCTGATGGGGCTGATGGGAGACTGGCGTGCCTTCCTCTCATGCTCTGGCAAAGGTTTCCAGTGGAAATTTAATTCCCAGTCAAAGACCCCTCGCTGCAAGTCTACAGAATGATAATATTGGAAATTCTTCCAGTCTATCACATCAATGATAGGAGACACCACGCGGCTCCTGAAGAAGATTGGTAAAAATGAACACAAACAGTGAAAGCCTTGTGGGTAATGTGTAGATGACTGAGTGTAGACAGAATTGCCTAATCAAAGAATCTCAGAGTTGGCAGGGACCTCCCGGGTCACTTGTCCTACCTGCACCCGAGTAGGCATTACATCTATAGCAGCTGGACAAGGGGTCAGTCATCCTGCCTTCAGTCAGTGACGGGGAACTCACCACTTCCCCAAAGAGCTCATCTCATTTATGGATGGTCTGATGGTTGGGAAAATCTTTCCTGGCATTGAATGGAAATCCCTCCCTCCAACTTCTTCCTGCTCCTGGCTTTGCATCTGAGTCTGAGAAAAACAACCAGGAGGTTAGACTAGGGACCTCTAAGGATGCTGCGAGTTCTAAATCTGTGAATCTCAACACGCACACCGGTGTCTCTAAATCAAGTGCTTCCCAGCCACTTCCTTCCTCCTACCATTTCAGGTCAGCCCCTTATTTACACACACACACATGCACACACATACAAACACGTGTGTGTGCATGCATGTGCACGTGTATGTTTCCTGTCCCAAGAGAATGTAAGCTCCTTGCAGGCAGGAGCTGTTTCATTTTTGCCTTTCTGTCCCCAGTGCCTAGCAGAATAACAAGCATAGTAGGTACTTAATTACTGCTCAGCAGTTGATTATCATGTAGGTACTCCCTCCATTTTACAGATGAAGAAACTGAGTCTGAGCTCAGGTGACTTTAACAAATAAGCTTGTGCCGCAGGGCCCTGACAGGAGTGGTCCTAGAAGCCCCATCTTTCCTGGCATCACCTATCACTGCTCTTTTTAATCCTCAGGGATCTGCTGGTAACATATCCTCTGACACTCTCCCTCTTTTCTGAGACAATAGACATGGGTTAACTGGGTATTGTAAGGAGAGGCAAAGTTATGTGTGGGAGTGGAAGAAAGCGATAATTTTATAAATGCCAAGTATAACAAACACACGAGGGGCATTGGAGCCCCCACCACCATGGCCACCATACTGTCTGCTCTCACGCTCACGTCTTACAGCAATACCGGTATGCTGGGATTCCATGATAAATCATAATAATGATAATGATAATAACAACTAGGTTTTATGTAGCTCTTTAAGATTTGTAAAGGGCCTTACAAACATTATCTCATTTGATCCTCACAACAACTCTGGAAGGCGGGAGGTGTTTTCCCCATTTTACAGATGAACAAGTTTTGAGCCAGGCCATGATGTCCTTTAAATGCCCTTCAGAAGTAGAATTCTCAAGTAGAATGAGAGGTCAGTACCTGGAGATTGGTCGATGTGATTTCTGCTTCCACCATCTTATCTTACTCTATCCCAATGGTTCTGCAAATCTCAGTGATATGTCCACACAGAATGGGCTCCACTGGAAATCTGTGTGGGGCAGGGGCCTCACCTTCTCACAGGACTGGAAGCCAGGTGTCCTAGGAGCCCCTCCCTCCCACTCACTGGCCCAACCTGATCAGATGGCTGAGTGCTCCGACCCACCCCTCAGACCTTCAGGTAATTAAGGCCTAGAGCCAGGAGCAAGACAGGAGGTCAGCTAAATGGTAGAGCTTGAAATGAAGCCAAGGTGCTGGAATGTGGGAAGCCAGCCCCATGCTGTGTTTACAGTGAGAGCAATCGCCATTTCCCTACCATCCATCTCTGGAGACCGGCAGGGTTGAATAGACGCAGGCGGTCACACTGAGGGAATCAGTGGGGGCTTCGGGATGTGATTCTCTGCTTGCAGTGATGAGTCAGGAAGGTGGGCATTGGGTGGGGAAGTGGTGGTGATGATGGCATCTGTATTTAAAGCCAGGGCCTTCAGGGACCCTTTCTCCCCCTTCTCCTTAGCATTGTTCCTCGATGGGAAGCAAGTGGAACACAGTTTCCTTGGTTCACTATTATTCTTGGGTTGTCTTGGTGGGGAACCTTAGAACATGGCAGAACAAAAAGATGGAAAGGACAGGGGGCCTCCACTTTCTCTTTCTCTCGTGGCTGCTCTGACTCAGTGGCCAGATCCTGTGGATTCGATCTCAAGTGGAGTTTTCCCATCCTCCCTTCTCTTCTCACTCCCATCACCCAAATTTAGGCTCTTTTTCTCACCTGGACCAGTCTATAGCTACCTAAATGTCCTCCCTGACTCCAGTTTTTAACAAGCTCATAGATTTTGTTTGTTTGTATGTTATAGAGCTAGAAGGGACCTTGGAGTTTAGCCCAACCCCTTTATTTTACAGATGGGGAAACTGAGTCCCAAAGAAGTTAAGTGACTTGCCCAGTGTCATGGAATTTAAGTAGCAGAATAAAAAATTGACCCCAGGTTTTCTGACTTCAGACTCAGCTCTTTCAATCATACCATGTTTCTTCTTTCTCATCCTGTTTTCAGAGTACTCCTCCTAATACATGGGTCCTACTGAATGCTCGACCGTCCTCTGTAGCTCCCTGTTACCTACTAAGTAAAATACAGATGGCTTAGCTTGGCACTTAATGGCCCTTCTGGATCGAACTTACATTTCCAGGCTCATGGCGGTGTCCTCCCTATTTCAACCAAACTGGGTAACTCATCATTTCTTAATGTTGCTTCTTTCTCTCCTAGATATGTGGATCTCCCAATTCAACAGGCATTTATTAAGCACCTGTTGTATGACAGCCATTGTTCTAGGCAACGAAGACACAAAAACAAAATGAAAAAATGAAATCATTCCTGCTGTCAAGGAGTTTACATTCTACTGGGGAAAATAACAGGTAAATAAAGAGTTTGGGGGTGGGAAAGAGGAGTATAACGACTAAGAAATCAGGAAAGGCCTTTTGTGGGATATGGCATGAGTGTCCTGAAGGGAGGAGCAGAGGGGAGGGGAGACGGTCTTCCAGGCATGGGGCACAGCTTGAGCGAAGGCGCAGAGAGGGGAGGTGGATCTTGGGCCATAGCCCACTTCTCTACGACTCAGCCTGAAGGATCTCTTGTTCTTCTGGCTTCTCATCTGGCCCTTCTGGCGTACACTCACACCTTCCCCTTCCTCTAGGTCTAATTGCATGTTGGGAGCTGCTGCTGGGGTTCCCCTCCTCAGGGAGGTTCAGAGCCTGGCAGCTCCTGTCCCCTTGTCCAGCGGCCCTTGAGGTGGAACCGTGGGCCGGTGGGCTGCAGCTGATGAGAAGAGCACCAGGAAAGCTGCGCCACGAGGGGCCTGAGTCATTTGGGCAGGGAGCGTAGGCTTTGGTTACCTCAGGCGCCCTCCATTCAGGCCCCTTGGGCCTTTTCTCCCTTCCTGTCCTTTCCTCTCCTGGGGCTTTTTGGCCGGCCTGTCGAGTCTCTGGAGGCCTCTCTGGAGAGGGCCAGGGGTCGCCGGGTTGAGGGACCTCAAGCGCCCTTTCCCCACCCGTGAGCCTAGCCATCCTCTCCTGGGAGTCAGCAGAAAGCATGCACTTGCTGTGAGCAGGTCTGTCTGAGCCAGTGGCTTCTGGGGCATGCAGACAAGGCGTGCAGACTGTGAGGCCTGCTTGTTTCTGGGCATCCTGGAGGCCAGAAACCTCCTGGTGGTGAAAGCCCTGCATTTGGAGTCAGGAAGAGTTGGGTTGAACCTCATATATAAATATAAATATTCACATTTACACAATAAATTGTGTTAAATATAAACATTTATACAACAAAGATAAATATGTATATAACAGATATTTATATAACAACTGTATATAGCAATATGTTTATATAAGTATATACAATAAATATAAACATGTATATGATAAATTTCTATAATAAATATTTCTATTTCTATAATAAATCTATATAATAAAAATATATGTGTTTCTATAATAAATTTATATAATAGACATTTACATTTCTACAATAAATTTATATAATATAAATATGTACATTTATGTGACATCTCATAAGTATTACATAAATATACAGTTATATTTATTGATAACTATATTTAATATTTCTATAATATTTAATGTTTACATATAAATTATGGATGATTTTTATTTATAGAATAAATTTATTCTGTAAATATTGATATTTATGTAATAAATATAAATAGCTGTATGACCGGGAAGTTAGTGAGGCCATCTCAGCTTTCTCGCTGGTAAAATGAGGGCGTTAGAAAAGATGACCTCAGAAGTCCCCTATGGCACTAACGTTCTGTGCTTCTGAGTCACTGGGGGAAACTAAAGCAAACTTTGAAGTATTATCCTCTTCACACTCACTCTGTGTTCATACCAGTTGACGAGCCCAGAAGCTTCGGTCGTTTCTTAGGGGAGCCTCTCTGCCAAGGCCTGAAAACAAGCCCTGGGCCAGAGACTGAAGGAGGCTTCGGTACAAGAGTGTTTGAATGAAGCACAGGGCGATGAAAAGGGAAAAACCTTGCTGGGAGAAGGAAGAATGAAACCAGAAGCATGGAGGGAATGTCTGGGGGGGTGGGAGAGGGTGGAAGAGGGGAGAACCAAGAGGGAGGACACTGGGAGCAGAGCAGAATTTGAATTTCATAGCCCTGTAGAGTCAGTATTTAGTCCGGCCCCTTTAATTCTACAGGTTTAGTGGCAGAACTGAGCCTAGGATCCCAGTATCCTTTTGCCCATTATAGGATTCTTTATTTTCTGCTGAATCTCCGACACCCCTTTCCCACCTCCATACCTTTACTCAGGCTGTGTTTAGGTCTAGAATGTGTTTACCTTGAAGGAAGAAAGACCTGAGTTCAGATTATGCCTCTGACACTTTGCTTGCTGCGTGACATCGACTTAGCCTCAGTAAATAGGGATAATAAAATAGGGATAATAAAAACACCTGCCCTGCAGGGTTGTTGTGAGAATCAAGATAATGTATGTAAAGCACCTCCTCCAGGAATCCTTCCCTGATTCCCTTATGTCAGTAGCATTTCTGTACCCTCCCCTTCATATAGCTCTTTACCCAGAGCCCTTTACATTGTGTCCTATTACAAATGACATCACTGGGGATCAGAACCCAGATGAAAAAAGTGCTTAGACCCCAGCAGATTGGCCTTACCGGGCTTATTTGGGGGCCCGGAAAGAGAAGGCAGCTCAATTAAGGACTGGTATTAATTAGATAATTCATTTTTAATCGAGAAAGCCCCTAAAATGCCTTTATAGCAGTCTACATCTCCAGTGGGATTACTCAGCAGCGCCCTACCTCATCCTCCCCATCCCATGTGACCAGGGAGGGGCTTTTGTTACCTAGGTGGTGAAAGGATGGAGCTAATGAGAACAGTCACGGCATCCCTCCCCATATTCTGTGCTGTGGTCCATGAGTCCCTTCATGCCTGTTCTCTGTTCTAGAATCTTCAATGGCTCCCTGCTGCCTCCCAAGTAATGCTTAAATTCCTCCATCAGGCCTGCCACAGACTGGCACCAGACCTCCTCACCTTCTAGCAGAGATCATTCTGTCCCACTCTGTGCTGCAGTAAGACTGACTGGGTCTCTGCTGCTCAAAAACCCTGTGCTCTCTGACCGCCAGGACTCTTTCACCCAGTAGGTATTTTGTCCTCAGTAGTGAGAGCACTTCCCTTCTGACATCATTTAGCCCAAGGATATTGAGGTGTCTCATCTCAATATACTTATTGTATAGTATTGGAAGAGAGCGCAGCTCTCTGTCCCCTACCACGTCCTCTTGTGGACCAGGGGGTCTGAAAGACTATGTCAGCAGACTGCAGTCTCTGAGCAAAAAGCCAATAGAATGGGTCTGCTTGCTGAGGACCAGCCCAGCTTGGTCACCAGCAGTAGGCTGGCCATGAAGCATCTAACCTGGGGCGCCCCAGCCTCTGCTTCCAAGTGACCAGTGACCAGTTAGCACAGTGCCTGGCACACGGTAGGTACTTAATAAATGTTTATTGACTGACTGATGGAAAAGGGGACAGAAAGTACTAAGAATCACATTGTTTTGTGACCATCTAAAAATCTTAGCTTAATTCTAAGTATTCTAATTATGATGTCTTTCTCCAATGACCACCATGTTAATAGTTGGCATGATGCTGGTTGTGTTGAGTTCTAAACCATTAAAAATCCGTGATTCCTCAAAAGAGACCTCCCTGACAATCCACATAGGAAAAACTAAAGAGGTAAAAAAACTCATTTTTTTCCCTCAGATTATAATCTTTTCCACTTCCCCCAGTGGAAAGATCCCTGGATTTGGAGGTAGAGGATGTGGGTTCAGATCCTGCCTCTGTCATATGCTACCTGTGTGACTGTAGGCAAGTCACATAACTTCTTGGCCTCAATTTCCTCATCTTTAAAAAAAAAGGGGGGGGCAGACGCTAGGTGGCACAATGGATAGAGCACCAGCCCTGGAGTCAGGAGGACCTGAGTTCAAATCTGGATTCAGACACTTACTAGCTGTGTGACCCTGGGCAAGTCACTTAACCCCAATTGCCTTAAAAAAAAAAAGAGGAGTTTGAACTATAAGGCCTCTAAGATCTATGTCACAGAGCCTGTGACTCTGTGTGGAGTTGGATAACCTATCCATTGAGTTAGTCCATCAGTCCATATGAATATATATATAATATATTCACATATATGTGTATAAATGTGTGTGTGTTATAGACAGTGCAGATTGATAATGAGGATTTGTTCAATATAGAAAAGAAAGAAGAAAGCAGGCTAGAACCACTTGGGAAACTGCAGTTTTTAATTATTCCAAACTGGTCCCCTGTGCAAAAACCTCATCTTTTTGATAAAAATGTCTTCCTGAAGATGCTGTGTTATTGCATCACTTGGAATACTCCAGTCTCTAGTCTAAAGTATCAAAGTTGTGGCCGACCCAAAGGGCAGTGGAGAGATGGGTGGAGGTCGGCTATAGGACATTCCAGCGATGGCTTATAGGACGTCTTCGGTGATGTCCTAGAGCTGGTGTGTGCCAATTCAGCCGGCGGTTAAATTTCAGTGTGAGCATATATTTATACCTCGGAAATCAACAAACACTATGAATCAGGGCTTGATTTATTTTTTGTTGATTATCTAGACCAGAGGTTTCAGACTCTCAGCAGGCTCTCCATTGCAGCCTAAACCAGATGAAAATGTAATTGGGAAATGTTTGTTTCTTTAAAATATAATACAACATAGGTAAGGTTAATTTGAGGTTTTCTAAGGCAGCGTATGGCCTGTTAGGATCCGTTTTGAGTTTGACACCACTGGTCTAGATATAAGAAAGTGTTGGAGAAGAATGTTATTAATTCAGATTAAACTTTAAAGTGTGTCGTGTACATTTTTCCCCCCAGATAGCTGGTTGTTAAACATTTACCAGTATATCCTCAGATAGCATCAAGATGAGAAAAGGAGGCAGCTTAGCTCGGAATTCAAAGGGATAACAGGACGGCCGGAATGCTGCTGTAGTATCCACAAAATAGAAAACGATGCTCTGTGGAGGAGGTACGGGAGAATACTACTACCCACAAGAATAAATAATAATTATTAAATAATACATAATTAACTAAATAATAAATAATAAAACTGACATGTACATAACACTTTGAAGTTTGTAGAACACTTTCCCTAGATCAGGATACGGACCCATGGTGAAAATGGTGGAAGGACTTGTGTGTATATGTGTGTGTGTGTATGTGTGCATGTGTGTGTGCATGTGGGGGGGTGTAGAGAAGAAATCATGATCTATGATCTTCATTTTCTATAAAGGGAAAATGCAGAACTTAAAGTGGTATGTAGACATCAGTTATTGTTATAACTGTGGTTATTACGGAACATGGAATCTTAGATTTAGGTCTGGGAAAAAACTTAGAAATCAGAATCCTATCTGGGAGGGCCCTTCATGATTGAATCTTAGCCCCTCATTTGTAAAATGAGGAGACTGAGGCCCAAAAATGTTAAGTGACTTGCCCAGGGTACCTCTGCCAATAAGTATCTGACACTGGGTTCCAACCCAGGTCTTCCTATCTCCAAGTCTGGCATTCTATTCACTGTACCGTGCTTTGAGCCCCTCATTTCACAGAAGAGGAAACTGGGACCTAGTTCTGAATAATTAAACATTCTTCTACCTAAATACGAAACAGAAATAAAATTGTTAAATATTATTAGAGTATTATTGTTTGTGATGAAGAGAGAAAAAATATCAGAGTAATTATTCGTGGTGAGCCTCTTTGAGGTCCCTACTTGCTTGAGAGTCTATGAAATTCATGGTTCTCTGACCTCCAGGGTCCCTGCCAAGTCTAAATCCATGATTCTGCGATCTCTCCAGGCTCTCTCATCTCTGGCATCCCTCACCTCTGACCCATCTGCTTCTCTCCAGCCATGGTCGTCAAGCTTGCCTTAGTGAATGCTGGATCCCACAAAGGAAGTGGCTCTTTTCCCTTTGCCTTTCGTTGGTGGGTCAGAGGGAAGGATGGGTCCTGGTGAAGTGGCCTTCAGGTGGTCCCATGAGGGGCCACATTTCCCTTTTACGTTCCCGAGAGTCTCGAGAAAACAACCCTTATCTTTGTTGTGTGTTAGTGAGCAGAGGTCTTTCCCACAGGGAAGCCACCCACTTTAGGTCCTTCCAACAGAAGAATTGCTTTCCCATAACCTTGGGGGTTTGGTTCCCCTGGTGTTATCTCGGGTCAGCTTTTTGCTTTGACTGAGCCGGCCTGCAGCCGTGGGAACCCACAGAGCCCGATGCCCTCTGGGTGAGGAAGGGAATCCTAGCTCGCGTTCATAGAGGGTCTGCAGGCTTCCGCTGTGCGTCCCTCACAACAGGTGAGGAGAGTTGAGTGTTCAGTGCCTTCCCCGTGGTCTCACAGCTAGTAAGGGTCAGCACCCCTCCCACCAGTAGCAGAGAGCCAGCAGCTGAGCCCTTCTGTTCAATGGAGCTAACTCCTGGGGTTTACAGAACCTCTTTGGCAGAGAGAAATAGAGGCAGGTCCTTCATCCCAGTAAGCTGGGAGCTCTGGCTCTTAGTTTTCATTCATCAGTTCTAAGGACCCAGAAGATTGGTCGATTATCACTCTTTTTTTTAATCTACCCTGGACTTGATCTAGCGCATTCAGAGCTTGGTCTTTGCCCCTTTAAAGAGGAAGCTGGGTGGTGCAGTGGGTAGAGAGCTGAACTTAGGAAGGCCATAGTTCAGATCCTGCCTCCAACACATTAGCTGTGTGACCCTGGATGGGTCACTTCACCTCCACCTGCCTCAGTTTCCCCATCCATAAAATGAAGGTGATAATAGCACCTACCTCCCAGGGTTGTTGTGAGAATAAAATGCGATAATATTTGTGAAGAGTTTTACAGGCCTTGAAGTGCTGTTGTTATTGTTATTGTTAGCTTCCTTTAGTTTCAGTTCCAAAGCCCTTTGACCAAGGAGGAGGCAGCCCCCTGCTAAGTCACTCCCCCCCCCCACCAGTTCGATGGGTAGGTGGCTGGGTCCACACCCCTGCCCAGGCCAGGTCCCCTCCAGGATGGCGTTACCTGTCACCGGCTATTCTGCTGAGGAGGGGCTCCAGCCAGCCCTTGTGGCACTCACAGTGGGAGTCCATGAAGACCAGCACATCCCCAGCGGCCAGGGCGGCCCCCAGCATGCGGCCCTTAATGGCACCCAACCTCTTGTTGCTTCTGAGCAGTCTCACCCCCTCCAGCTGGGCCACATGGTCGCTCAGTGCAGACTTGAGGTGGCCTGGAATGAATGGAATGGAATCATCATCAGTGCGTTCTGGGGAGACTCGGAGAAAGCCCAGCTTACAGGGAGCTGGGGGGGGGGTGCAGTGCGTAGAGCCTGGGCTTGGAGGCAGGGAGATCTTCCTGCCCCAGGCATTTACCAGCTGGGTTTCCTCATCTATAAAATGGGAATAATAATAGCACCTACCACATGGAGTATGTGAGAAATACTTCACAAGCCTTACATAAATACTAGCTACTGGGGCAGCTAGGTGGTGCAGTGCATAGAGCACTGGCCTTGGAGTCAGGAGGACCTGAGTTCAAGTCCAGCCTCAGACACATAACACTCACTAGCTGTGTGGCTCTGGGCAAGTCACTTAACCCAAATTTACTCACCAAAAAAAACCAAAAACAAAATCATAAGTACTAGCTATTAGTAGTAGTAGTGATAGTGATAACCACTGATTAATTAGTAAAAGCGGTAAGTTAATTTATTTCTTAAGTGATAATAAATGTTGATTGATTAACTGTTTCTGTTATGAAGAAGTTAATTAATTAGGCTAACCCACTGGGATCAGTTTTGGCCCTTTGGTCAAGAACGTTATTATGTCATGGCTTCAAGGATCCATCATTTCGCCAGTATCCTCAGTCATAATTAGCGGTTTTGGCATCTGGGGCAAGCAGCATGGCATAACATCTAAGGCTGGCAGGACCGTACCCTTAAGTCAACTTTGTAATTTATGGAGTCAAAGTCATACTAGAAGTAATGAAGACAATTCCAGTTGAGTTGGAAGGAAAATTAATAGCTGTTATAGCATAAAGCAGATGAAGGAGTGTGACTGCAATGTTTCTGTGCCCTCTAGATTTCAGTTCTGGGGGGCTTAGGCCAGCTCCCCCCACTAATAGAGGCCTAGCGAATGTGCTGGCAGACTTCCTCTAAGGCTTTTTTGCATTTTATGGATATTTTTTATGCCTAAAAATTCCAGGTTCAGTACTAAAGGAATGACTCTATAATGGTGGAAATTTAGGCCCCTTGATCAGGGATGAGGTACCTTTATAATATACCCTCCTACCTAGGGCCTTCTGAATTTGTGTGGCTGAAAAAAAATCATCACCTGGTGATGAGGCTCTGACTGTTTCTGGGCCTAGTCTTAGAGCTCTCCCAGTGTGATAGCGATTGCTAGAGCCCGTGTTTCACTGGAAGGGCATCGTCAGGGGTTTGGGGCAAAGGAAAGAGGTTTGCCACGCTTCTCTGACCTAGCAGAGGAGGTCTTGTTCATCAGACAACGGAGCCCAGCTGCCGCTGGCCCTGCCTTCCGAAGGTTCTCTGGGCCAGGGGGGGACCTTGGGGTTGGAAAGCAGGCCAGCCTGCTAAGGAGGGCTGCAGGAGGGCTAGGGGGATTGCTAGGGTTCTTGTCCAGCTGCCCTCTGAGCAGAATGATTCTTACCCAGGAGGTTTGGTCTTCCCAAGTTCCATGCTAAAAGAATGAAATAGAGATAGGGGTGGGCTGGGCTGAGGGAGGGAGGCTCTGCATCCGCCCTGGAGATGAGCGCTCCCAGGTGCGCTCCCAAGTGGGGACCTTTCCTGGGGCCCGGGATTTCTAGAGCCACTCGGCACTCGGATCGGCCAGTCGCCAGTGGGACTCCTGACGGGGAGTCATTAGACAGACCACTCTACCTTGCAGAGTGATTTGCCTTAACGATCCTCTTCTATTCACAGAACCCAGGGTGAGCGTTCAGATGACCTCCCCAAGGAGACTGGGGAACGTTCTGAAACCTTCAAGCCGTGAGGCAGAGTGAATAAGGACTCCTTATCATCTACTGCAGTCCTCATTTCACCCCTGGGAAGAGCACAGGTAACCCCCCTGCCGTTTGGGCACAAGGCAGATGCCATCTGGAGGCAATGGATGAATGGATGGATGGATGGATGGATGGATGAAGGAAGGAAGGGAGGAAGGAGGGAAGGAAGGGAGGAAAACGGGAGGAAGGGAGGGAGGAAAGAGGGAGGAGGGAAGGGAGGGAAGAGGGAAGGAAGGGAGGAAGTATTTATTGAGCCCCTGCTTTGTGGTCTGATCTTGATCCTAGCTCTGGCGAGTTACTTGAGAAGTTCCCAGGTCCATGTGGAGCATAAGCACTAGCCCAGAGAGGTCCCCTTTGGGGACCCAAATACACCCTCTTACCTTTGGGAATGCTGAGCCTCTGTGCTACAAAGTAGCAGGCCTGGGTCACCCTTTAGTCCCCTAATTGTTATAGGATCATCCTCCCTTCCCCCTGGTCATTTGGTCCAACTCCCCCATTTTACAGATGAGAAAACTGAGGCCCAGAAAGTTTCCTAAAGTCACACACATAGTGTAAGTATCATCAGATTTGGGATTTAAGCCCAAGTCTAAGGACTCCAAAGTCAGTGGTTTTATGTTGTTGGTTTTGGTTTTTTTGTTTTTTGGGTTTTTTTAAGGCATTTGGGGTTAAGTGACTTGCCCAGGGTCACACAGCTAGTAAGTGGCAAGTGTTTGTTTGGTCTGAGGCCGAATTTGAACTGAGGTCCTCCTGACTTCAGGACCGGTGCTCTATCCACTGCCCCACCTAGCTGCCCCCCAGAGTCAGTGTTTTTTTTCCACCAAACTAGCCCACCTCGTGTCCTGTACAGTAATACAGGTTTTATCTACTTTTTAGTCGACTGGCCGCCTCCTCCATTTTTTCTCTATTATTGTGTCTGTCTTTGACAAAACCTGCCCTCACTGGCTGCTAGGAATTCAGAAACCAGGGAAACAAGCTTGTTGTAAGAGCCTGTGAACATGGAGCCAATGATGACCCACCTGAGGAGCTAAACATAAAGTGCCTGGGTTTTGTGACAGCTGTTTCAGAGGTGATGGATTTCTCCCCAGGGTGTGCTGGTAGATGTTTAACAACTGACTGTCCAAAAAGGCACAACACACTTGTAAGTTTAGGCTAAATTATTAACATTTTCTCTGTGGCTTTCTTAAATCTAGACGATCAGCAAAACAAGAAATTGAACCCGGATTTGTAGCTTTTGCTAAGATTTCCAAGGTGTGACTGCTCACGGTGAACATTTAACAATCAGCTCCCCTGAGCCTGTGCATTGGGCTGGCTCCAGCATACCCCAGCTCTAGAAGCCTTCAAGGAAAAGCTGGTTGACCCCTCATGGGGTATTTTGTGGAAGGAACTTTTGTTCGGGGGTGGATTTGGATCAGAGGCCTCCAAAGCCCCTCATACCCAGGTCCTCTGTGTGATGATTTGGGCATGCAATCAGACTGAAGCCACAGCCTCCACTCTTCTTGTCCAGCCTGGGCTTATACACCTCTGGCCTCAGGGAGCTTACTTCTTTTCTTTTGGAGGCACCCAAGGCCAAGTGACTTGCCCAAGGTCACACAGCTAGTAAGTGTCTGAGGCTGGATTTGAACTCAGGTGCTCTGACTCCACAGCCTGTGTTCTATCCACTGCGCTGCCCAAGCTCACTGCTTTTCCAAGGCATCCCCTTCCATTTTGGGAGTAACTGCTAGGAGGTTCCTGTATGTGTCGAACCTAAATCTTCCTCCCTGTAAACTTTACTCTCAAGTCACTGAACCTCTGTTGGCCTCAGTTTCCTCATCTGTAAAAGTGGGGGTGATGACACTAGTGCCTCTCCTCCACAGTGGTGAGGATCACAAGATGTGAAGCACCAGCACAGTGCCTGGCACGTGGTGATGGCCATAGAAATGTCAGACGATGATAACACTGATGAGCTCTCTGGTGGCACGGTTTTCTACCGGGCTGCCCTTTGGGTGTTTGCAGGCCGTGCTCGTGCCCTCCGCTGAGGCAGGCATTGTCCGTTCCTTCAGCCTGGGCTGAGAGGCCTTTTCTGTGGGGGGAAGGGGTAAACTGGGAGGAGTGGGGAGGGTTGAAATTGTCAGATGACTGCTGTCTGGCTAAGCAGGGGTGTGACTGTATTGTATTTGTGAGGCATTTTAACTTCTGTTTTCTCTTCTGATCTCCTCAAGAACCTTGTGAGATAGACCCGAAATGATACTAATACCAGCAGCATTTATACAGCCTTGGAGGTTTGCAAAGTGCTTTACAAATATTCCCTCGTTTTTGCCTCATGACAGCCCTGAGAGGTAGGACAGCTCTAGGGTCACTGCCTAGGGACCATTAGAGATGGGCAAACTGAGGCTCTGATTTCATTGGCCAAAAACTAACACATAAGCAGACGAAAGCAGCAAGCTAGGTCTGGCCTCGGCCATGTGCTAGCTGCTGTTTTCAGTTGTGTCTGACTCTCCATGACCCCCCCTTGGGGTTTTCCTGGCAGAGATACAGGGGTGGTTTGCCACTTCCTTCTCCAGCTCATTTGACAGATGAGGAAACTGAGGCAAACAGGGTGAAGTGACTTGCCCAAGGCCACATAAACAAGTGACTTAACCTCCCAGGGGACTATGACTCCGCATGAGGCCACAGAGGATCAGCTGATCTGCACGGGCAGAGGGAGAATCACTTTGGGGGGATCTTTCCCAGAAAAAAAAATACTAAGGCCCAAATGGTCATGTGACTTGTTCAGGGTCACTCAAGTAGTAAGTGGGAGAGCCAGGGTTTAAACCCAGGTCCTCTTACTACAAATCTGTCTCTCTTTTCCACTGTGCCATGCTGTCCCTGCCCTCAGAGTGTACTTTTTTACAGGGAGGGGAAACTGAGGCACAAAATGATTATGTACCTTCCTGAGATCACAAAGAGAGTTGGTGGCAGAACTAGAACCCAGGTCTCCTGAGTCTTGGCAAAGTAGCCTTTCCACCAGGCTGTACCATGCTCACCAATGACTGTGTGCTGAACTTCCCCACCCACTACCCTCCCTGGGACCCAAAGCCTTAGACTTTAAGAGAGAAATGGGCCAAAGAGGGGGATGGGGAATGGAGGGAGGGAGCCTCTACCTTGTTGGCTGAGGTCATCAACAAGGATGATCTCCTTGAGGAAGGGTCTGGGGGTCGTGTCCAAGACACTGTGCACGGTTCTGAGGAGGGTAGACCAGGCCTCGTCGTGGAAGCAGATGATGATGCTGGCTGTGGGCAGATTGTCGCCATAGTCCTGCTGCAGACACCTGGGGGTCAGAGGATGGCGGGGAAGAAAAGCAGAACCAAGGATAAGAGGCCTGAGAATGACCTTCCAGGGGGAAGGGGCACATTCTCCTGGCTCAAAATGGGGCTGCCCTAGACTATGTTTGCCTTCTTTCAGTATAGCAGCCGCTCTTAACCTGGGATCCATGAACTTTAAAAAGATAGATCAACAGACAGACAGGCAGACAGATAACAGTACTTCAATGTGATTGGATTACTTGGTAATTAATCTTAGGTATTTTATTTCATGCATTTGAAAACATTATTCTGAGAAGGAGTTCATAGGCTTCACCAGCCTGACAAAAAGGGGTCCATGACACAAAAGTGGTTAAGAGTTTGTGCCCCGGTACCACCTTCATGGGGTGCTACAGGGAGTCAAATAAGACAATGCTTGTATAACCCTTGTTACTTGTCAGAAAGTTCAGCTGGCATTCTTTAATTTGTTCCATAAACAAACAGGCACACAGAAAGTTGGGGGCAGGGTGGGGGAAGGGGATGCGTTTGAAAGGGACAAGCTGCTTTTCTCCCCAGGACTGAGAGGCCCTGAGACCTAACTTCATGATTCTGGGATGTATTGTCCTGGGCAGACAGCATTGTTTTCTGCTTGGGCTGTGAGATGGAATGGACTGGTGAAGTGTCTAATTGATCTTCCCTCTCCTTTCCTCTCCCACCTCCCCCACCACACATTTATAGTGCAGGCATGTGACCTCAAGATTTTCCTATTCCTTAAATTGTTTCTAATTTATGATTTTTTCATAATACCTTAGAAGCTACTTCCCCGTTGATATTAAATTATGACTGGTCATAATTTGTGAACGGCTGGGCTTTGGTGGAACTAGTGAATGGTTGGGATGGTTATCAAAAGGAAGAGAGGCCTGATCCCTTTGTTAAAATAGCTAGGGTTTCTTTCTTTTTAAATCCTAGCTTGGGGGGCTCAGAGCTATAATAGAGAATTCTATGATTTTGATTATTAATAATTTTTTATAAACTCCCCCAAAGCATAATTCAAACTGAATCCGAGGTTTGTTTTCTATCCTTGTAACTCTCCCTGGAAAGGGGGAGGGAATCTGAGAAGAGTGGTCACATCCCAAATTTCAAAAGTGGAAGCAAGAGGGCAGAGGAGCACCTCTTCCTTACACTTCCCTTTTTAACCCTCCAAACAGCTCCACCAAGCAATTACATATGTATAGCACTTTGCCAACCTTCAAGTGTTACATGAATATCAGCAAGCATTCCTGTGCTTGGCTTTTCATTAGATTTTTCATACTTTCAGCAAAGAGATGCTTGTGTTCTCTTTGTCCAGGTGGAGGGAAACAGTGAGACTGAGATCATGAGATTGTATTACAGAGCTGGGCCATCTAGGCTAACCCCTGATTTTATAGGAAACTGAGTCCCAGGAACTTAAATTCATTAAGTTTAAATTAAGCTTCCTAGCTTAGCTAATTGGTGTATTTTTGCCTAGGTAGTAAGCATCAGAGGCAAGATTTGAACCCGGGTCCCCCAGCTCCAAAGTTCACACTCCTTCCACTATACGATGGTGAGGATGTCAATGGAGCTGGGGCACAGTGGGCTGCCTAGAGCTATCGTCGTCTTGCTGGGGCTTTGAAAACTGTGGGCAAGCCTTCCCCAAACCGGGGGCTTCTCCGGGCAGTGCACAGCAGAGTGAACCCTGGCTAGAAGCAGACTTCATTTTCGAGGGTGGTGAGTCTGGCCCCTTTCCATGAAACCAGAGAGTCATTAGTGGAGGGGAGCGGAAAGCCTCAGAACTTGGTGTGTTGGGGAGAAGCATCTGTACTCTGGGCGAACCTGGCTTGTGGTTTGTGTGCGATGATGAAGCTGTTTGACATGATTCTGGACCAGGGAGCTGAATATTACAAACAGAAGTCTGGCAGGCAGTCACGTCTCGTGGCCTATTAGAACCTTTTAAGAGAAGCCAGAGGTTTATTATTTTGTGTCTGGCAAGGCGTTGTGAATGGGAGGCAGGCCCAGTCGGGGATGCACTGCATGAAGCTTCTCACTGCGGTTCCAGGTGGGGCTGGAAATAAGGTGTTGAAGTGTTTGGTTTCTTTTGGGGGAGGAGAAAGGGGGGGGTATCATCTGCAGAGCAGGGGCTTCTCCATCTTTGTAGGGACGCACATACAGTGATGTTGACATGAGAAAGGTGGGGAACAGAAGCTCTGAGAATCATGTCAAAACCAGGCTTCCTACATCCCACTGGGCTCTTGAACACACAAGTCTCGTGAGGTTTGGAGGCGACCTGAACATTTCCAATGAGCAGTCAGATCACAAATGCCATTGTGTGTCTGATGGGAAAAGAGGGGGTGGGAGGGAGGGGACAGGGGAGAAAAATGTCTTTTATAATGTAAGCTCCTTCAGGGAAGGGACCGCTTTGTTTTCATCCATGGGTCCTCAGTACTTTGCACACAGCAGGCGCTTAATAAATGCATGTAGACTTGAATTGAATTTGGTATGCCAGAAATAGCCATGGTTTTAGAGTCCCAAGACCAGGTTTCATTCACATCCCACTTTTGTTACCTACTACTTTTGTGACCTGGGGGGAGCCACTTCACCTCTGGACGTTGGCTGCACCATCTATAAAGTGAGGGAGCTAGGCCAGATGTCCTCTGAAGCCTCTTCTAGCTCCAACTCCGTGGGCTTCTACACTGGCCATGTATCATACATGTAACTGGGGAGGTCATTAGATTCAACCAAGGACACAGAGGAGGAGCCTTCTTTATGTATTTGGAAGGAAAGGTTATGGGAAAAAGAGGCAAACCCAAAGCAAAGAGCCATGCTTGGGCCTGGGATTTTTATGAGCCTCCCCCTTGACTAGTAAATTGACTGGGAAACTCTGGTGGTTCTGGGAAAAACTATTTTATTCTGTAACTGAGAAACCTGGTGCTCCATGAGGTGCAGTAACTGTTTGGTAGTGGATGGGGTGCCAGGATTGGTTCTCATTTGTTGTGAGCCATGGATGGACCCCCCTGGCCTTCCCAGGCCTTCAAAAAAGCTAAGACAACCTGTAGCCCCAAACTAGGCACACAGGCTCTCTCTAGGTGGAAATTTCCTTATCAGAAAAAAGAAGTGACTGATCACTCCTAGCACCAACATTCCTGGCTGTGTGATCTGTTGTCTTGTCCATCCTCACCAACCTGGACAGGTGGCCATGAAGAGGGATCAAACCCCAAGGTTCCTTGGTGCCCTGAGGCGATGTGATAAAGCTGCAAGTGGCAGATCTGCATTGTTACGAGGGAGTTTCCTCCCTGAGAATTCCCTTCTCCAGGGTCAGTCCGATAAATTATATTCAAAAGGAGTATTTCTGTCACAGACACTATAGAAACAAAAGAGAGCCACGTGGGACTGGGGCCCATTTTAGGGCAGCTCTGTGGTGCAGTGAATAGAGAGTATTGGGCTTAAAGACAGGAGGATCTGAGTTCAAATCCTGCCTCAGAAATTTTCTAGTTGTGTGACCCTGGGCAAGTCACTTAAACCTCACTCTGCCTCTGTTTCCTCAACTGCAAAATAGGGGTAATGATAGAATCCATCCCATAGGATTATTGTGAGGAGAAAATGAAATAATGTATGTGAAGTGTTTTGCAAGTCTTAAAGCATGCAAATGAGCTATTATTAATAATTATTTTGATTTTTTTCTTTTTTGTTGGGGAAGGCAGTTGCCGTAACCAAAGAATTCATTCCCATGTGTCCATACTGCTGGTGATGAGCCTCCCCGTACTTAGTGAGGCTTATCATCAGATAGCAAATAAAGTCTGTTGGTAGGGCTGCCATCTTTGAAGTCATTTCAGCAAGGAAAAACCTGCTAGACCATGTGCCCAACTGACATAGTCTTCAAAAGCCCAGGGTCACCTCCCCTCCACACCACCACGGAATGGAATAAACATTTATTAAGCACCTACTTTGTGCCAGGTGCTATGCTAAGCACTTTGTAAATATTATCTGATGCTATGGGTCATCAGAGTAAGACTTGTGGGGGATAAATAATTATATCTATATTTTTGGTCTGATCCTGTGAGTTCATTGGTAAAGGGAGCTCCTTGTGAGGAAACATCCTTCACCTATGCTGATCAGCAGTATCTTAAAAGAGTTGCCTGGGACATTGAAGGGTTAAGTGACTTGTCCAAAGTCCCACAACCAGTATTGGTCAGGGACAGGGCTTGAACCCAGGTTTTCCTGACTCTTAAGTCTGGCTTTCTAACTACTAAGCCATGCTAACTCATCATTATCATCATTAAAAATAGGATCAGACTAAGAACAAAAATAATAATTTTATTTATTGTTGACTAGTATAATTTGACTGTATAATTTTGCTTTGTCTTACTGTTCTAATATGATATCAATCCAACAGATAGGAACTATGATCTTATAAAGCTAGCCTCTGGCACAGAGCTTTGCACACAGTAGGCACTTAATACATTTGAGGAATTGAACTGAATTAGATCTCTACCATGGCCTCCCCTGACATCAAAACGTGAGAGCTGGCAGCAGTCATAACAACAGCATGTAGTTAGCTCTCTAGGTGGAGAAGACATGCAGCTGGTGCAAAAGTAATGCTCAGCCCCCAGATCCAGTGGCCTTGGACACAGCCAGAGACACACCCATGTACTCCGCCATGTTCACACTTACCCAGGCTCTGGCCCTTCCTGGGGAAAGCCCTGCTCTTGGCAGATGGGGAGCCAGCTGGATGGGGGGCTGGCGGAGGTTTGCCTTGTGTCGCCTGCAAAGTGGATAATCCATTCACAGAGGACTGAACGTTGACCGCACCCTGGATATAGAAATCACTTGTCCTTCAGAAAATGCCCAGCGCTCACACAGGCTTGAGCACAGCTGACCTCTCAGCAGCCCTGAGAGGACAAGCAGGTTCTATTGTCTGCGTTTTCCAGAGAGATGATTTGCCCTGAAGCACACGGCAAGTATTGACTTTGATTAAGTAATGAACTCAGTGAATTCACCTTTATTAATCACTGTT